GCAGGGAGCCCGATGCGGGGCTTGATCCCAGGACTCTGGGATCATGACCCGAGCCGAAGGCAGACGCCCAACGACTGAGCCACCCAGGCGCCCCTGACAGCAACTCTTAATAAGAAATCCATTTTACAGGGTGACCTGGTACCTATATACATATGTGTGTCTATGAATATGTATAATATTTACCCCTACTGTCTGCAATTCACTCTATTTTCTATCTTATTCTATTTTTTAAAAAACTTTTGAGATGTAACATCTTTTGTCAGATTTTAAGAGTCCAGTTTAAGGTGTTTTTGCATATGTAAATATCAACGTAACTACCCCTGGATCATGATGTAGAACATATTCAGAACCTCAGAATGCTCCTTTCTTCCCCTTCCTCATCAATACTGGCCATACCTCCACCCTGCTCTGAAATAAATCACTGATCTACCTGTCTGGTCTATCTGTCTACCCTTGTGCTAACACCACACTCTTTATTTACTTACATTAGCCCCACTATACAGAATGGTGCCTACCATGTACCAGATTTCCAATAAATATTTGTTGAAATGAATACTCAATGCTTGCTTTGGACCATCTCCTACTGCCCTTTGATGATCCCAGATCATTTCTCTTGACCCAGAGGGATCTGTCTCAAATTCCCAACTGTCCTTAAAATGGCCCATCCTGTCCAATTATGATACAGTCATGTTGGGGATCCAGAAGGGTTTCATATCTACTAGAAGGTCCTAATCCATAGAGCTCAGATTCTTAGGGAATTTTTTTCTTCTTTTGGTAACTTTTTACTTTGATATAAGTTAAAACTTAAAGTAAAAAAAACAGTGCAGAGAACTCTATATATTCTTTATCTAGATTGATGGTTCACATTTTGCCCCCTTGTTTTATTATTGCTCTTTCTACTCTATGAGGGTTAATTGTATACACTATTCCACCTTACTTTAAATAACTGAGTGTGTATTTCCTAAAGAACAAGAATGTTTTCTTATATAGTCACAGTAAAATGATCAAAATCAGAAAGTTGAATAGTGATATGTTATTACCTAATTTACATTCCAAATTCAAATATTGCCAGTGTTTTTAATAATGCCACTTACAGCTATATTTACCCCAGTCTAGGATCCAATACAGGATAATGCATTGTATTTAGTTATATCCCTTAAGTCTCTTTATTTGGAAAAGTTCCTCAGCTTTCTTTGTCTCCCATGACAGACAATTTTGGAAACTATAGGCCAGTTTATTTTATAGAATACTCCTCAGTTTGGGTATTCCAGGTGTATTCCCATAATTAGATTCAGGTCATGCATGTTTGAAAGGAATACTTCACAAGTGAGGTTTTGTCCTTCTCAGTGCTCTGTATCAGGAGGCACAGGTTTGTCCTAATACTGATGACGTGATTTCTTAGTTAAAGTAGTGTTTGCAAGGTTTCTTCACTGTAACAATACTATTTTTCTCTTTGCAGTTAATCAGTAATTTGTAGGAGATACTTTGAAACTATGTAAACATTGTTTGTCATCAAGTCTTCACCCACTAGTTTTGGCATCCGTTGATGATTCTTGCTAAATCAATTATTACTATGACAGTTGCAAAGTAATGACTTTCTAACTCCATCATTTCTCCTATATAGATTAAATGGTATTCTTCTATGAGAAAGAGCTCTTCCTTCTCCCCCATTTATTTATTTATTCAGGTATATTTTTGTTATGAGTATCAACTCATAGATTTTTATTTCATGCAAATGCTTGTAATCCCATACTATTATTATTTATTTTGATGCTCAAATCTGTTCAGATTTGGTCAGTCCCTCAAACTGGCTCCTGTGTTCTTTTGACATGTGTGATCATTCTTTGAGCACATCTTTGCTATATGCCATAAGAAGATGTTTTAGGCTCATTTTGTACATTCCCCTGTCCTACTCCTGGATTCATTCCAAGGAGCTATTTCATTAAGAAGCCTTGGTTCCCTTTCATGGAGAACAGTATTTAGAAATTAGCATACTAGGTACGCTCATTGCTCTTGGGGTATCCTTTCTTCTAGTTCCTATCACCACACAGAATTAGGAAATTTATGTATGTATGAATATATGTATTAATTTTCATATATGTATATACATTTTTTGATCTATGAGTACCAAGACTTCCAATTCCAATGCAAGAATACAGGTGCCTTCTAATCTCTCCCCTTTCATATTTGTAAATCCTTTCCCTAACAGTGAGAAACCTGGTTGACATTATCCTCAACATATTTATTCATTTGCTCAATTTTAGAATGTATAGAAAGTAATTTCTGAATTGCCGAACCATAACACTGTGAAAAATAAATGTACTAACTAGAATTCAATATTTGTTTATGGTAGGGAGTTTTTATATACTTTTATACCTTACTTTCTTCATATGGCTGGGAGAGGATTCTTAAAAATTTTAATACAATAAGTATTGTCTATGGTTTAAAAAAGTGAATAATTTTTTAAACTCTTTTAGTGAAGGATTTTTATTTGCAGTAGAACTAAGTGTTTCAAAATTTTAGTCTTGAAATTTAATTTTAATGATACAGAGTTATTATGTTAAAATGAAATTTATTTGGCTCTTACCCTGGCATCAGGATTATCATCGAATTGTGTTCTAATAAATGTATCAAAAGAATCCCAGTAGTTTTCAGTTAGATTACCACCCAAAGACCATAAATAACAGAATATGAAAGTCTGACATAGTATTGTATTCAGTTTTGTTTGTTCCTGAAAGAACAAAAAGAAAGAATTTTAGTATTTTATTTGTTACATAAATTGCATCCTTAATTTCAAAGCCTGAAGATTGTTTTCTTTTGTCTAGACTCATGCATTTTAAAAAGAGTATAGTATATGTTTCTTACAGTTGACTCAATAGTTCACAGAGCAATGTTTTATACTAGTACAAGAAAATGAATGGCAAGGTAGAAAAAAGCTCAAGGTTGTCTTTCAACTGACTGTTAACACTTTGTTTACACCTGCATGAAAGTATGTAAGCAGCTATTAGACACATACTGGGAATGTGTTGCAGACTGTAGGGAATTTAAACATTGAGTACAAGAGTAAACTATAGGTTCTCTTACATTCCTTCCAATTTTGAGATTCTATGAATCTAGTCACAATCATTACTCCGCAAAAAATTAACTTGAAAATCAAATGATCATTTTATAGAAAAGTTAGTTATCTGTTTGCAAAGCATCTATACAACAATCTCATTTTCCTAGCTTTATAGCAGTGAGAAAAACCTTTCATACCATTGTCAAATTAACTCCATCCTTCCCAAGTATCAAAGACTCCAATAAGCAACAGAGTGTAGTAACTTTGCTGATGTCCACTTGTGGGATTGCTTGGCCACATTTTTTATTGATAAAATATAAACCATCATCAACATAACGTTGGAAAAGATTCAATATATATTCTTGGGTTTCCTCATTCAGCTGAAAATCATACAAACAAATAATATTTCCGTAAGACCCAATAAAATATGTAATTAAATTTAGAAATGGGTTAGTTTAAATCTGTGTATTACAATATATTCTGTGACTTTTAGATTAAAGGGTATAAACATCACAAGATATAAAACAAATTGAAATTTAAAAAAATCTATGATTTGGGAGAGACATATGGAGGAGATCCTGGGTAGTGGTAGTGGACAATGTCCTACATCTTGATCTGGTACTGGGTACAGAGGTGTTTATTTTATAATCATTTGTTACCTGTCAATATATATTTCATGCAGTCTTATAATTAAGAACAATTAAAAATGAGAAACATAAAAAAATAGCAACTTAACTATCTATGTAAGGAAAAGGAATAATTCCCAAAGATTTAAAAAGAATGCAGCCCCTCTCATCATTCCTATTTAACATTGTACTGGAAGTCTTAGCTAATGCAGTAGGACAATAAAAAGAAATAAAGAGTACACAGATTGGGAAGGAAGAAAAAAAAAGTCTTTGTTCATGGATGACATGATTGTCTATGTAGAAAATGCCAAAGAATTGACCCCAAACTCCTGGAACTAATAAGCACATATAGCAAGGTTACAGGATACAAGGTTAAGATACAGAAGTCAATTGCTTTCCTATATATCAGCAATGAATAATTGGAATTTGAAATGGAAAATACAACACCATTTATATTAGCACAAAAAATGAAGTACTTAGGTATAATTCCAACAAAATATGTGCAAGAGTTAAATAAGGAAAACCACAAGAGTCTGGTGAAAGAAGACAGAGATGACCGAAGTAAACAGAAAGCTATTCAATGTGTATAGATGGGGAGATCCAGTATTATAAAGATGTCAGCACTTCCTAACTTGATCTATAGATTCACTGTAGTCTGAATCAAAACACCAGCAGGTTATTTTGTGTATACCAGCAAACCAATTATAAAGTTTATATGGAGAGGCAAAATACCCAAAACAGCACATTGTTGAAGAACAAAGTTGGAAGACTGACATTATCTGACTTCAAGAATTGCTAAAAAGCTACAGTAAGCAAGACAGTGTGATACTGGCAAAAGAAAAGACACAAAGATCAATGGAACGGAGTAGAGAGCCCAGAGATGGACCCATACAAATGTAGTCAGCTGATCTATGACAAAGGAACAAAGGCAATCCAATGGAGAAGGGATGGTGTTTTTCTTTTTCTTTCTTTCTTTTTTTTTTTTTAAAGATTTTATTTCTTTATTTGACAGAAAGATAAAGAGGCAGAGTGGCAGGCAAAGGGAGAGGGAGAAGCAGGCTCTCAGTTGAGCAGGGAGCCTGACGAGGAATTAGATCCCAGACCTTGGGATCATGACCTGGGCCGAAGGCAGAGGCTTAACCGACTGAGCCACCCAGGCGCCCCGGGATGGTGTTTTCAACAAATGGTGTTGGAACAACTGGACATCCACATGCAAAAAAATATGAATGTAGACACTATTATTACACCTTTCACAAAAATTAACTCAAAGAGGATCACAGACCTAAATGTGAAAAACAAAACTAAAAAACTTCTAGAAGATAACAGATAAGAAAATCTAGGTGACCTTAAGTTTGGAAATGGGTGTCAGATACAATGCCAAAAGCTCAATCCATGAAGGAAAATTTGATAAGCTGGACTTCGTTAAAATTAAAAACTTGTGTTCTGGGTGCCTAGGTGGCTCAGTCGGTTAAGCGTCTGCCTTCAGCTCAGGTCATGATCTCAGGGTCCTGGGATTGAGCCCCACATCAGGCTCCCTGCCTGCTCCCTGTGCTTGTGCTCTCTCTCTCTCTGTCAAATAAATAAATAAAATCTTAAAAACAAAAAACAAAAAACTTGTGTTCTGTGAAAGATTGTTAAGAGAATGAAAAGACAAGCCAGGCTGGGAGAAAATTTTTACAAAATACATACATGACAAAGAACTTGTATCCAAAAAATTGCAAAGAACTTGTAAAGCTCAAAAACAGGAAACAACCCAATAAAAAATGAGCAAGATTTGAATAGGCATCTCACCAAAGGAGATACACAGATGGCAAATAAGCATATGAAAAGACACTCATGATCACATATTAGAGAAATGCACATTAAAACAATGAGACATAACTATTAGCATGGTGAAAATCTAAAACACCAAATCACCAAATGCTGGTGAGGATGTGCAGCAAGATTTCTCATTCATCGCTGGTGGGAATGCAGAATGGCATTTGGAAGACAAACTGGCAGTATCTTATAAAGCTAAATAAAATTTTACCATATGATCCAACAATCACACTTCTAGATATTTTACCCAAATGAATTGAAAACTTATGTCTACATAAAAACCTGCACACAGATGCTTATAGGAGCTTTCTTCATAATTGCCAAAACCTGGAAACAATCAAGATGTCCTTTAGCAGGTGAATGGATAAACTTGGTAAATCCATACAATGGAATATTATTCAGAACCAGAAGGAAATGAGCTATCAAGTCACAGAAAGACATGGAAGAAACTTAAAAACGTATTGTTAAGTGAAAGAAGCCAATCTGAAAAAGCTACATACTGTATGATTCCAAAGACATGACATTCTGGAAAAGGCAAAGCTATGGAGACAGTAAAAAGATCAGTGGTTGCCAGGGGTTAGGAGGGGGTATGGATGGATGAATAGGTAGAGCACAGATTTTAAGTCAGTGAAACTATTATTTATAATACTGTAAGGGTAGATATATGACATTATACATTTGTTAAAACCCACAGAATTGTACAACATAGAGAGTGAACCCTAATGTAAACTATGCATTTTAGTTAACAGTAATGTATCAATAATGTTTCATCAATTTTAACAAATCACTTTTAACAAATGTACCACACCAGTGGGGGATGTTAATAGGAAAAACTATGTTTGGAGGAGAAGGAGTATATGATAACATTCTGTACTTTCCATTAAACTTTTCTATAAACCTAAAAGTGCCCTAAGTAATATAGCCTATTAATTTAAAAAGAAAAGTATATTTGGGAAGGTTTAAAATCTTACAGTAGTCATGATACATTCTCAATTCTGAGAATTATTTTCTTTAATAATGTACTCTGAAACTAGAACATATTATTGTTCAAATGTTGATGCCTAAGAATGAAAAAAACAAACAATAGTTTTCTGATTCATCTTTATAGGGGGAGAGGCAGAAAGAAGACGGCTTCCTGGATGGGGGCTGGGATGGGGCACAACACTTCAAAAAATCCCTTGCTAAGCTAAGGCAAAGAGAACTCCTATTTTGGAATGGAGAGGGTGCAGAAGGTGATAGAGACCTGAGTTGTCCCGTATAATAATGTGGAATGTTTCCTTTGAGGTTAGAACACATCTTGGGTCAGAGACCTAAGATTGGGTGGGAGGGAAACTAAAGGTTTTCTTTTCTCTCAGAGGTGTTAGGGGCTCCTACAATCTAAAAACAATGACAGCGCCTAGATTAAAATGTTCTTTTTCTTTACTGTGCTTCCCTCTCATTATCTTAAGCCTTCTGCAAAGTCTTTTTTTTTAATTATGTTATGTTAATCACCATACATTACATCATTAGTTTTTGATGTAGTGTTCCATTATTCATTGTTTGCATATAACACCCAGTGCTCCATGCAGTACATGCCCTCTTTAATATCTGTCACCAGGCTAACCCATCCCCCCACCCCCATCCCCTCTAGAATGCCCCCGCCTGTTCTGGCTGTGTTTAGGGGACTTAAGGAAGCAGTTTGTGTTTGTATGGGAGAGGAAACAATCTGGGGAGAGGCCAGGCAGAGTGGGCAGGAATCAGAGTGACGAGGCAGCTTGGCAGGCTGAGGTAACAGATAATGAGGACAGATTTGGGGGGGATATACATTTCGGGAGGATCTCAAGAATTCTTAGGGAGAGGCACTAGGTAACGGTGCTGGAATTCCCTCCACAAAGCACAATGAGGTCTCTTAACTTACTACAGTTTGGGCACGCGAGGGCCTCCATCCTGACCGATGGATATGTTGTGGAGTATCTGGTTGTACTTACTTTGTTAGAAGTACTCTTCATCCATGTTTTAACATAAGGCATCCATTTCAGTTCTTCAGGATCCACAAACACCATTCCACATCGACTGACTGTTGCAGGAGAGGCAACCCTTAGATCTTGCACCTAAATGGAAGGAAGTTGAACAAAAAATAGCTAACAATACTTCCTAATTCTTCCCCCTTCAATGCTAATGGATCACATGTTTAAACTTAACACTTTGTATGAAAGGAAGAGGGACAGCCTTAAGTAATCAAAAATGGAGGAGGAAAGATAAGTGAGGCATAAGGTGAAAAAAACCCTTAAGAGGATAATGTCAAATCCTTATGGGAAAGTAGAGGTATTTCTTTTTCCTCCTCTTTGCTTTTGTCTTCTTTACTTTTTCATTCTTATATCTCATCCCTAGCTGAACGCCTAGCCACATAGCAGGCATTCAATCCCTGTTTGATGGATGGGTACAGCAGGGGTGGTATCTTCCAGAATATTTTATAGCTGTATTAGGTTCCTTTTCCAATCTCTTCACCAAATATTCATACCACAGAGAGATAATTTATTCATAGTAAATATAACTACTTTTTTTTTTAACTTAGAAAGCATTTCAAATCATGTAACACCATTAATATATTGATTAACTATTTCCAAAAGAAAGGAAACAAGTGCTGAGGAAGATAGAATTTATTGTATTTCCTGTTTCTAGGGAAACAGGAATATTTGAGAGTCTTTAGTTCTCAGGATGCACACTCTACTATAAATGGACAATTCGATAAGGATGTAAACAATTTAGGATGTAAACAAAACACCATGGTAGGCCTTACAGATAGTAAATGACATATCAACAAGAAAAAAAATTGATGATGGCATGCCAATCTAATGAGTGATTTCACTCCACAGTAAGGCATATATATTTACCTCAAAAAGCATGTGGATTTGAGGTGTGAGTTTGATCCTCTCACTGTTAGCCAGACAAAGCATCTTGTTATCATCCAACACTGTATTCATATTTTCAATCCAAAGAGCATCCACGGGCCCATCACTGATGATCCATTTATGGTCTTCTGAAGTGTCATTCACAGCTGCTCGGACACTTAGTGCCATCAAACCATCTTTCCACTCCAAGGTTACGTTATTAACTTCGCCATATAATTCACCCATTGTAATTGATTTAGGATTAAGAACATATGTTTTAACTGGTTGGTAAAAGGGATTGTCTACACCAAGTTTTCGCAAATTCCCTAAAGTTTCTGCCAGTATTTGGTAAACTGTGGTCTTGCCACCTCCTGTTGGCCCAACTAACATCACACCATGTCTTACCAGCATAGTTTCATAGAACTGTATCACTTTTTTAACCATACATGCCTCAGGCTGAAGATTCTGTCTATTCATGACATCTATAATTGTTGACTGCAATATACCATAATCATGTTCTGGAATTTGGACTCCAGGAAAAAGATCAGATATGATTCCACTGAAAAAAACAAAAATAAAATCATTGGTCATTGATATTTCCCAATATTTATTACAATTAATTTATTACAATCATTGATTACAATGAGTCTTATTTTTCCCCTTAATCTTTTCTTCTGAACATGCACAATACTAGTCTGTCCTATGTGTTATACCAGAATCTAACATTTCTCTGATATTGTGTATGATTTTTTTGTTTCTTGTACAGTAGACCAATGTTCTTAAGTATATTGGGAGCTTTTTGAGGTAAGGAATATCTCTTATGTGTTTGTATTGTCCACAGTACATGGCATAGTATCAAACATACAGAAAGTGATGAATTTAACAGTTTATTTTAAAAATTATATTTAATCTCAACTTTTTCCAAAAGCATTTATGCATGCTTATTACTGTATGGATATTCAGAAAAATAAGATGGAAATAGAAATAGAAACTAATAGTAGATTAAAAAAAAGGGAATAAAGGAGAAATAATTGTTTCTGTGAGAAGCAGACAATATGGGATGTTTCTATGGATAAAAAAGAAGCTAAATCCCTACCTCACACTATATACACAAATACATTTGAGATATAATAAAGGCTTCAGTATAAGATGACAACAAAAATACTAGATGAAAATATAACAGATATATTTTGCAACACTGTGGTTAAGAAGGTCTTTATTTTATTTATTTATTTAAAAAATTTTAAATTTAAATTTTAGTTAATTAGGGGTGTCTGGGTGACTCAGTTGGTTAAGTGTCTGCCTTCAGCTCAGGACCAAGCCCCACGTTGGGGTTCCCTGCTCAGTGGGGAGTCTGCCTCTCCCTCTGCCCCTCCCCCTGCTCATGCTCTCTCCTTCTCTCAAATAAATAAAATCTTCTAAAAAAAGAAATTTTAGTTAGTTAACATACAGTGCAATATTGGTTTCTGGAGAAATCAGTGATTCATCACTTACATACAACACCCAGTGCTCATCAAAACAACTGCCCTCTTTAACACTCATCACCAATCTAGCCCATCCAAGAAGGTCTTTCTAAGGAAGACAAGAAATCTACAACTGTTATTTAAAAAGTTGGTAAAGTAAAAAAATAAAAACAAACAAGCAAAAAAACACAAACGTGTGAGAGAAAAGGCTTTAGAAAAGTATTTCCAATTTTTATACCAGATAAAGTTTATGATTTCCTACAAATCAATAATAAGAAGAACACAATAGAAATATGCTCTAAAAATAATAAATATAAATGACTAATGAACACAAGAAATAATGCTCAATGGCACTAATAACTAAAGAAATGCATATTAAAATAGCGTATGACTTTTGGTCACTCTCTAAAACATTTAAAAGGAAATAGGTATTGTCATAAAATAATTTATATAAATGTAAATATCTTTGGACAACATCCTAATAGAATCTATCTAAATTAAAAATACCCATACTCTATAAAACCTAGGATATTTACTAGAATCTCATTTACAGAAGTATCACAGGTGTGTAAAGATAAATGTATAGGAATTTTCATCATTGTGTTCTGCCAAAAGGGAGTAGACATGTGTCTACTCAGAAGATCTGACAGAGGACAAAAGCAAAGGGAACTCCAGCATAGTCATAAATGGACATCCCAGGATGATCAATGTGTACCAGGGTAATGGCAAGCAGTCCAGATTAGAGCAGGAGGACAGAGGGCTTCAAGGAGACAAATTTGATAGAATGTTTTATATAATTGAAGGGTTTTTTTTTTTTTAAAGATTTTATTTATTTTTTAGAGAGCGAGCAAGAGAGAAACAGCATGAGAGGGGAGAGGGTCAGAGGGAGAAGCAGGCTCCCCGCTGAGCCGGGAGCCCGATGTGGGACTCGATCCCAGGACCCTGGGAACATGACCTGAGCCGAAGGCAGACGCTTAACCATCTGAGCCACCCAGGTGCCCCGAAGGGGTTTTTTTTTAAGAGGAGATTTATACATACCCTGGCAGAATTTGGAAATAAATTATTGATAAATCTATAGGAAAGTTAGGTAAAGGATTAAAAAATAAAAACTAAGACAATTAACAAATGCAGGGGAAAGGAAATAAAACAAAGGAAATGTAGCTCAGCTGTGGATACTACTTCTATAGCTGTAATAAAGTGTGGGAACCCTGGACATTTAGCTCCAGTTAGACTGCAATGTAACTGCGGGGCGTGGGGGGTGGGGTGGGAGAGGGAGAGGTGCATGTGCATATCCTCATCTCCTGTTTACTCTATAGAGCATACCTAAAACAGAAATCAAGAAATAGCATAAACACAGTACTTAAAACTATGGAGGGAAATAACAACACAAACAAATAAAGAACTGAAAAATGCTTGCCTTTAGGAAGTGGGAGTTGGTGAAGGGCATGGACGTACTGTTTCTCATGAGACTAATTTATGATAGTTTTTACAACTACATACATATATGACTTGGATAAATATAAAACTTAATAGTGAAAGTAGAAATAGATAAAAGCCCTCACATTTATGTTAAGCCCCAAGTCTGGTTTTTTGGGGTCAGGAATTTCTCTTAGGTCAGGAACTTGTAACCAAACGCTAATTTGTATGACATACAGTCTAGTGACCAATACTGTGAAAAAGAGAAATGATTGATTGTTGCTTAAGCTTTAGGATCTTTATTTTAAAACTAGTATTTTTTTAATTTTTTTTAAAGATTTTTTTATTTATTCATTTGAGACACAGAGATACAGAGAGGGAGAGAGGCAGAGGGAGAGGGAGAAGCAGGCCTCCCGCCGAGCAGGGAGCCCGATGTAGGGCTCGATCCCAGGACCCTGGGATCATGACCTGAGCCGAAGGCAGACGCTTAACCATCTGAGCCACCCAGGCGCCCCAAACTAGTATTTTTTTTAAACTGTAAAAAGTATCTCCAGAAAAGATAAGGATGTTATTACCTTGTTAGAGACAGACAAAACTGAAGAGCAGACTATCCTTCACCTCTACACAGCAGCTATGCCTTATTCTGTAATGTCTAGAAACTTACCTGAACAGAAGAGCATCATCTGTTAGGAATTTTGGCAAGTTGGAGTCTCGTAAAGCTCTTATCAACACCACATCTTCACTTAGGTCTGGATTCTCCCTTTTTAAAGACCTAAATTTAAAGGGATAATTCAGATGATGTTGCAAGAACCCAGTACTTCTGAGTATGATTTTCCAAACCTGTAGGTTAGGGATTCTACTTGCAAAAAGCTGTGGAAGGCACCTCTCCCTCTGTGGATTCCTGCTAGAAGGAGAGGATCATTTTTCCTTGCATGCCCACTGTCCATCTCCATCACAGCACAAGGACAGATCAGGCACTGGCTACATGGCCTTGAGGAGAATGACAAAGGTATTTTTTAAACCTCCCTGCATCAATCCAGACTTTATTCAACCTGAATTTACGCTTTCCCGAATACACCATAATGATTCACATCCCTGTGACTTTCTTCTCTCAGCCCAGAAAGTCCTTCTTTGCTCTTTTGACACCTCTTATTTCTCCTTCAAAACCCAGCCTAGTTACTCTCTCCTCCAGAAAGTTCCTCTATGGCCCTCCTCAGAGAACCTTGGGCATGGCCCTATTATGGTTGCCCCATGCACTGTATCCTAGATGACTTGCTCCTGTGTCTGTCTCGCCCCCTGGCCTGTGGCTGTGTTCCTGGAGTGCAAGTGTATCTGAACCCCTTAGTATCCCTGATCTTTACATGGCAATCTTATAAAGGGGGAAAATAGTGTATCTGGGAGGTTGAAAGAAAGAACAGAGAAGGGCAGGGAGATTTGGCCCAGGAATATAGGGGCCAGACAGAAGGGGCCCTGGATGTGTGGAGCAAGAACCAGTGAGTCATGGCCTAAAAAGGACTAGAGAGAAGGTCGATTCCCTCAGAGACTCCGGATAAAGTGGGGGTTCCAAAGGTAGGGGTTTCAAGAGGTTATAAAGGAAGAAGTTAGGGGCGCCTGGGTGGCTCAGTCGGTTAAACGTCTGCCTTCGGCTCAGGTCATGATCCCAGGGTCCTGGGATCGAGTCCCGGGTTGGGCTCCCTGCTCAGTGGGGAGTCTGCTTCTTCCTCTGCCTCTCCCCCTGCTTGTACCCTCTCTCTGTCTCAAAAATAAATAAAATATTTAAAAAAAAAAGGGGGGGGGATAGAATTTGGGGCCTAAAAAGAAGAAAACTAGAAAGCTGCTTTACTAGAAACTACAAAGCAGCTCAGTGTTGCACCATATGGGAATGGCAGAGGCGGAGCCTAGGAAGTAAACCTGGACTGAGGTCAGAATGCGGAAACTGAAGTTTCTCTCAACCCTTCAGGCTTTCTCAGGTTACAGGCATGGCCTACCTTACTGTATATGCATAACAAATGGTGCCTTTTAAGTCTAGTCATTCTATCTAAGGTGGTAAGGTAAAGGCTTTTGTATGCTGAAACCCAACATATACGATGAGTTCAGAGGAAATGAAAGCTAGCCGAAGCCTGGTCGAGAGACTCGGGTTCAGTGTGGGGCCAACCAGGACTGCCGTGTGATGAGGAGAGAGGCCCCATTTGACTGTGGCCTGGGAGTGTCAAGGTAAAATGATGATGGCGGCAGCTAGCATTTCCGAGTCACTCTCTATGTTGCTTTAAGAGCCGTCTGTGAATTAGCCATTTGTTTGCTTACATGGTTTAGAATTTCACTCTTGGCCCCTTTGGTTTCTTACCCGGCCATGACCAGTACAGACTTTACAGCTCTCATGCCAAAGTCGTAGTGATCCTGCTGAGAGAGCTGTTCACTGCAGAGCTTATACATCTGGGTCATTTTTCTCGCTAATATTTTACTGGATTCAAATCCTTCCGAATATAGAATTACCTAGAATGGAAAAGTACAATGCAATGCTTCTTATATTGTATTGACAGCGATATATTAGCATAATACCAATGTATGCAAAATCTACGTTAGGCATTATACCTCTCCGAGTTGTTATATCATTTAACAAAGAAATATGAAGATTGCAAGGAGAAGGGTTTTCTGTGTGACAAGAAGGTGGAAGGTGGGATATTACACAGGGATGCTTGAGCAGTGATTCTGCTTTCTTTCTGTAGATGAAGATGTGGCCTTGGTGACATTGGGTTCAAGGAACAGTAGGGCCCCTGTTTGAAAATGTTCGCATCGTGGAGGTTGGATGGTGTTACAAGGCCTGCGTACAGAGGCAAGACTTGAGTTTCTCCGATCTGGTGGGAACGCCACCCTGTGGACAGAATCAGTGATAGCTGGGTGCTCCCTTTAGGCTCCCTGAGTATCAAGGGAAGCTACACAGGTTTGCAGCCTTCCTCTGCCCTAGGAGGCTACCTTGCTTCTGATAAGTTTCTGCATTCTTGGTTCAATAAATTGGATGACGACAGTGGAGGTGAGTGTGGACCCTTTCTTCAATCCATAACCTACTCAAATCACTGCAGTTGGCCTCAGAATCCGGATATGAAATGATGTAGACAATTAAATTCATTGATTCATTCCAGTTTTATGGGCCTACTCTGTTCCAGATACCATTCTGGGCATTGGGGATATAGCAGTTACACACACACATGCATACACACCAAAACATTCTAGGTGATAACAGTCCTAGCTACATGAAGAGCAAACAATAATGTGTAACTTTTGCCAGGGTGCAATCATAAAGGAAACTTTCTACCTCCATAGAATCAAATGGTAAATAAAACATGCTTAAATTTTTTCTGCTTTATAGTGCGAAGCTCACCTCTGCAATCAAAGCGTAATTCGGAACCATCATTGCAAAGGGTCTAAACAGGGCTTTCAAATTATCCGGCAATTCGGTTCTGCCTGCGTATCCAGGATTCATTGTGATAAAAGCTGCACAAGTCATGACCAACTTTATTTCCCGCCCCTCAAACATGAATCTAGACAGCTGTTTAAAGGAAAGAGAGAGTATAAGCTAACACTTCTCTAGACATTTGGAAATTCTTTCACATAAACACCACTTGAGTACAAAACTTGTGTATAGAACATTCAAGCAAAGACTACCAGCCCAGTGAATCCTGCTATTGGACGACAGGGAATGTTTCTCTCCTGATTCTGTACTACCCACTCCCAATCTCTTCTGGGCTCAGTATTTCCTGCTTTTTTGCTTCTCTGCTCCTGCTTTGCCCAAACTGTCTCTGCCTTTCTGGCCCAGCCCTGTAATATTTTAGGCCTCAACCTCTTTTGCTGAGACTCCTCAATTTAAGTTAGATTTAATGGCCCTGAAACCTTCTCCATCCCTACTTTCTGGTATTCCCTAAGAAATTCTAATGGGATCTGAGTCCTTGGGTGTTGGAGGCCCCACTCTTACTCTTGGCACTACCCCTTCACTTTCATTCAAGGGCAAACACCTGTTGAGCATCTGTTGCAGATGAGGCATAGGGTTAGGTGTGGAGGTGGAGAGCTGAGAGAGACTCACTCGGGCTCCCCCCCCAAGAAGCTCCCGGGCCTACAGTGTGGAGTCAGATATAGAACCTGTGGTTGAGCAGTACAACAGATGCTCCATGGGAGGTGTGTGCAAAGTCCACGGGAGGAGCAGGGAAGCCTGTTGGCCCTGAAGAATGAAGAAGGGCCTTTCATGTGGATAAGCAGGGAGAGCTATCTGGTCAAAGACAGCAGTGCATGTTCAGGAAATGACCAGATATTCACTTTGCTAAAGGGTAACGTTCCAAGAGGAAAGCATAGCTAGGCTGAGGCCTGAGCATCAAGAGTCTTGCATGCTGGGCTAAGGAATTTGGATTTTGTCCTGTGGGTGGGGGGAAGCAGAGAAGAATTTTGGGCAGAGTGATAGGATCAAAGGTGGCAGTAGAGAGGCTGGACAAACTATAGAGGGGGACCAGTAAGGAACTGTTATTGAACAAAGATAAGATCCAGAATTATGGAGTTACTATTAGGGATGAGAGGCATCTAGCAGATACAATTAAATGGACTTGATGATGGCTTAGATTCTGGGGTTGATGGTAATTGGAGGGGGGGGGAATCCAAGATGAATGCCAGGTTTCTAGCTGGGCCATGGGAGGAAGGCACTATTAACAGACACAAAAAATACAGGGAAGACCAGGAGATGTGTCATAGCCCGGAGGAGAAAATGCTGGGCAGTACAATGGAGACCAGTCCTGCAGCCACTAAATGGCTGTTTGTGCTATTTTTCATCTATTCCAGGGGATCGATTCCACTCTAACTATCTCAGATGTCTTCCTCCTTTCCTTTTACCTCACGTTGCTGCCCTCCAGTTGGCAATGCTTCTGTCCTGCCTCCATTCTCGTTGGTCCTTCCCTCTTACTCCCCATGCTCTGCTCTCAGCTATATGCTCAGCAAGGTAATAGTGACTTATGAGTAATGCTGTATCTGGAGGTCCCTGCATTTAATACAGGCCTCCTCTGAGGATGTGGGAAGCAAGAGAGTGTGTAGTTGAAGGAGCTCAGACTTTGGGGTCACATAGATTTAGGTGAATATCTTGGTTTGTGGTGTCCCCAGAAATATTTTTAAATTTCTTTGAATCCTTTTCATCTGTAACCTTGGGAAAATGCCTTCTACTTCATGTAGCTTTAGTGTGAAAATGAAATAAATGAAAAGTACAATGCCTTGTACAATTTAGTGACTCACTAAAGTCCAATTTCTGCTTTCTTTTTACTTGTTCTGTAATTTGCTTTTTTGCAGAGGTGATAATCAAAACATTTAACAACTCTTTATCAGGGCACCTTCCGGTGAGAATGGCCTCTACCCCTAGAGCTACAGCTAGGTCCAGAGCCCCCCTGCTACACCAGAATGAACCCTCATGGCTGGATCTAGCAAAGATCTGGTGCTTTTTAGGAAGGGGACAAGATAGTGGTTGGGGACCCTCTAGGGACTCAGGGCAGCGAGTATTTAAATATTAAACAACTGGCAAGCCTGTTTTGGTTTGTATTGACTGAGAGCCTTGGGTTCTGCAGGGTTCCTCTCTCATTTTTCTGCCAGCACTAGGCTGAGCCTGGGGGCCACGATGAAGGCAGTGGAGTCCAGAAGAGGTACAGGGGAGAAACGTAACAGAGAAGTAAATGTCAAAGGCAAGAACAAGAAGAGGAAAATAGGAGGTGGAGGGGACAGGGACAGGCTGTGGGTGGACGCGTGTGTGCATGCGTGTGTGCGTGCATGGGTGTTGGGGGTGGGAAGAACAGAGCTCCTGGAAAGCAGAGACTGAGTCTCACCATCTGCGTATCCCCAGGTCCCCACACAGCGTGTGACATATAGTTGTTTCTGTGTTGCCTGGATGAGGAATTAATTCACTCAACTACGTCTTATTGCTGTAGTACTCACCAATTACCCTGGAAATATGGGTAGACGTGCTAAAGTTAGCATCGTTCTTCCTAAAGTGCAACAGACTTCAGAAATGCTACCTCCATGGACAATTGCCCACACTTTACCTTTGCGGCTTTGGCATTCCTAATGGTAATGAGTTGCTGTGCTATGACCGACAAAACTTCTATGTCAATTCGATTAAATTCATCAAAGCAGCACCAGGCCCCTGACTGTGCCAGACCGCTGAAGAAGCGCCCCATCATCTGAAATCAAAATAATGCCATTCGACTTTGTGCTTTATGTTTACGTTATGTTTATGCTTAGTTTTATGTGAATACTGGGCTGTGTTAGAAGTTAGTGCCTTTATATAAGAGGTCCAGAGTTTCTTCCTCTGTAGGTCTGCTGTGGGGCCTGATAATTTGCATTTCTCACAAGTTGCCAGGTGACGATAATGCTGGTCCAGAGTTAACACTTTGAGAACCACTGCTCTAGAACTTGGCTTTTCAAAGTGCACCAGTGAGAGTTGACATCACCCAGGGGATCTGAGAAATGCAAAATTTCAGGCCTTCCCCTAGATCTCCAGAATCAGGATATGCACTATAATGAGATCTTCAGGTGATTCACAAGCAAAGTAAAGGTGACAAAACACTGCTTTAGAAGAAGAAAGCTGAAAAGAAATTGAAACCCATTAATCCTGATGCTTAGAATGTGTTCCTTTATTGTTTTTTTTTTAAGTTTTTATTTAAATGCCAATTAGTTAACAGTGTGATATTAGTTTCAGGTGTACAATTTAGCGATTCAACAATCCGATCCATCACCCTGTGCTCATCACAAGTGCCCTCCTTCATCCCCATCACCTATTTCACCCATCACCCCACCCATCTCCCCTCTGGTAACCATGAGTTTGTTCTCTACAGTTAAGAGTCTGTTTCTTGGTTTGCCTCTCTCTCTCTTTTTTTTTTTTCCCCTTTGCTCATTTGTTTTGTTTCTTAAATCCCACATATGAGTGAAATCATATGGTATTTGTCTTGGAATGTGTTCCTTTGAATGGCAGTGTTCATGACGTATGTATTGATCCTTCTCTATGAGCCTGATCATTCCATTAAATTCCATTATGAGTCATCCTTGATATTGTAAGTGCTATATAATGGGTCTACATTTTTAAATTCAACCCCCAGACAAAGCAAAGAAGGCATAATTATAGTTCTAGAATAGTGCAACTTCATAAACCTTGACATGATAAGACAAAATTATATAAACTAATGAAAATCAGAAAGTGAAGTTGGAACAGAAAGTTGGAGGGTTATATCTAATAAAATCTTGATTTTATAAGTTGGCAGATAATGTTCAAAACTGATATATACAAATACCATAATAGACACAAATTTTTATAGATAATAGCAATCACCAGAAGAAGTAAAAACAAACAAATACAATCAGAAACTTGGTCTCTGGAGAGTAGAACTGGGTGATGTGAATAGAGAGAAAATCTGTTATTTTTAACTTTGGATCTTTCTATACAGTTTGAATTTTTTCACATGTATATATTTCTTTAATTTAATTATTTTTTAAAGATGTATTTATTTATTTTAGAGAGAGAGAGAGAGCACGAGCAGAAGGAGCAGAGGCAGAGGGAGAAAGAATCCCAAGCAGACTTCATGCTAAGCGCAGAGCCTGATGTGGGGCTCAATCTCACAACCCTGAGATCATAACCTGAGATCATGACCTGAGCTGAAACCATGAGTCTGACGCTTAATTGACTGTATCACCCAGGCGCCCTGATATTTCTTTAATTTTAAAAGGTTAGTGTAATAAATCCTTATGGAACAAGGTAGAGTATAAATAAGAATAAATAAATATTTAAATTTCTTATCATTGAATATAATTGGCACTTCAGGGATCATCAAACTACACACCACAGCTATATCTGGCCTGACACCTGTTTTGTGAATGGAATTTTAATGGAACACAGCCATGCTCGTTCATGATATATTACATTTACATATGGTACGTGGCTGCTTTCATGCCACAACAGCAGAAAGAATGACAAGTTGCAAGCCTAAAATATTTACCACTTGGGCTTTTCCAGAAAGCTTGCTGACTCCTGCTCTAGAGTCTAAGATAACTGAATCATATGTATGCATCCTGTGGCTTGAAGTGTCACACAGTACACACTTGTACCTTTGGGAGTGCACAGTTCCCGGGAATGATTGAGCCTAAGCGATGACTACCTAATCATTAGAAGATGGATTCAGGTGTATAAATTCAAATTTTGAGTTGAGAAGATTGAAAACAACCAAAATTATTATGGCCAAGATAAAAAAAATCATCACTATCATAAAACTTGATGTATCTCTGCTGAGATAATGAGGTCACTTCATAGCAGTGGGAGCAGATCCCCATAAAGGTGGGATGTTAGGGAGTATGAATTCTCCCCTGGATTGCTGACAGCAGTTTCCCAGACTCTTTCTTGTGTGTACCAGAGGCCACCTCTGCACCTGTGCTGAAGGGAGAGAGGTCACCTTTCCTGATTCACCCTTGCTGAGATTTTCTAGTCTCTCGTTCCTCTCTTGTTCTGCTCCTGTGAAACAACTTTCTGCCTGTGCTGCACTTTCACTATTTTTTTTTAAAGATTTTACTTATATATTTGACAGAGAGACACAGCGAGAGAGGGAACACAGGCAGGGGGATGGGGGAGGGAGAAGCAGGCTTCCCGCCGAGCAGGGAGCCCGACGTGGGGCTTGATCCCAGGGCCCCGGGATCATGACCTGAGCTGAAGGCAGATGATTAATGACTGAGCCAGCCAGGCACCCCAACTATTTTTTGCTTATTAATAAAAAGACATTCCCAGCAACATCTTTTTTTCCCTAAATTTTAAAAAAAGGATCAGGGTTTTTAAAGAACATGTCCTATGAAACACTAATTTCTGAAGATGCTTCTGAAAAGTAAGTATGATTTACTCTGTAAAAATGAATGAATTACAGTTTACTTGGACAATTTAAATGATTATATTCTAAATTCAGACATTATACAGGCATTCATGTAACTTTCAGAAAAATGAGACTATCAGCTCTGTGTGTTAGTGGCCAAAAGGCACCCCTGGTCAAATATATTCCAGATTTGCTGAATTAAATAAAGGTAAATAGATTTCCTAACTGTGGGACTTCAGAAAGTGTTTCATATGCTACTTTGTGCTATGAAAACCTGGAAGGGGAATAAGGTGTGACCAAAAACTTTGAGAACTACTGTACTGAAAAATCTTACCATGCATTCTCACCTCCTACATATTTCATTTTTAATACACAACTCTCTGAATTGCTCATCTCTTCCTGTAAGCTTATTCCTTGTTCCTAGATTTCCCTGCTATTATATCTTGTATCTCATCTCATTTTTTTCTATTTAGTGACATGAAAAGACTTTTAATTTTGCCACCATTTAGTAGATCCCTCAATGGCCTTGATTCTTATCTGGACCACTCAACCCACCTTGTGTTGACTCTTCTCCCTTGCTCTATTTATCCCACTTTGACCATCCCTTGTCTTATTAGTATCCCCCTTGCTTGCCATCACCCTTTCTCTCCTTTTTTTGTCATGCCATGTTGCAAGTGAGAAAGCCCATAAAGCACTTAATGGTAGTGTTCAGATGCTGGCACGTACCTTGTAGTCCAAACCATCGGAGCAGTTGAAGACCACACATTGGATGGCAAGAGCTTTAGCTAGGTCTTTGGTTGTCTCTGTCTTCCCAGTACCTGCAGGACCAGCCGGCGCGCCTCCCAGGTCGAGCTGCAAAGCTCCCATGAGGCAAAGGTAGCAGCGATCCTGAAGAAATGCAGAAATTGTCATTATTGAAGGGAACTGACTCAAGTCATAAATTTATAAGTCTCTTCCTTTCTACAGGAGGAGGGTCATTATTTTCTATGAAAGGTTTTATAGCAATTGAGATATACTCAAAGATCCAGGCACATGAGTAATGATGCACATCTCTGCTTCACAAAGATGTATTCATGGCAAATCCTTTGAAGAGTTAAGGTTGGATGGAACTTTTCGAGACTATTTTTTAAAGATTTTAGTTATCCATTTTAGGGAGAGAGAGAGAGCACGAGTGGGGCAGGGGGAAGAGGGAGTGGGAGAAGCAGACTTCCCTACTGAGCAGGGAGCCCGACGTGGGGCTCGATGCCAGGACCCTGGGGGTCATGATCTGAGCTGAAGGCAGATGCTTAACCGACTGAGTCATCCAGGCGCCCCTTTTCAAGACTATTTTAAGAAAGCATTTGTATCACGATTAACCTAATTCATCACTAACTTACCGTGAGAGGAGTAATAACTAGTCTTGGGCATGCACCCAAATACTCGTAGCCATAAATGTACTGAGAGAGCGCCATCCTAGCCACACAATTATCCACATCTACATCCCAATAATAGCGCAGTTGTCTCTGCCAGTCAAAGGAATTGACTTCCTCTACCTGTATAAGTGGTAACAATGATACATATATTAGATGCACTAATTTCAGGAAGAAATATATGATTTTACTTAAATAAAAGTTACCTTGGCTTGAACAAGTTCAGTGACTATGTCTCTTGCATGTACATCAATAGTAATTAAGGCAGTTATGATGTTTCTCTGTAATTTTGGAAGACTGCCTCGAACTATCACTGCCAGGGCATTTAATCTCTACAAATCAAAAGAAAATTTGTCATAATGAATTTTCAAAAATCAGCTTACATATCTATATTTTTTACCATCTTTTTCTATTTTTTACTATTAAATTTGCAGCAGACATTTGCCAAAACTAATTAAAAAAAATTTTTTTTTTAGATTTTATTTATTTATTTGAGAGAGAGAGACAGAGATAGTGAGAGAGAGCACAAGTGGGGAGGAGAGGGAGAAGCAGGCTCCCCACAGAGCAAGGAGCCCGATGCGGGACTTGATCCCAGGACCCGGAGATCATGACCTGAGCCGAAGGCAGCTGCTTAACTGAATGAGCCACTCAGGCGCCCCTGTGACCTAAAATTCTATGAAGTCCTCAAGAGATGGTGTTCTTGCATCTCAAGAAAGTTGTTTCTTCCCTTTTCTGTTTCAAAGGTAATTTAAAAAAAAAATGCAAACTTGCCTGGAAGTAGAATTAAATTTGTAGTTAAAGATTGGGCATAGCTGTAAAATGGCATTCCTGAACTATAGCTTAAAAATTCTTGTAGAATGGTATTTGGATTCAGTTATTTATTGTGTTATTGCTGGCTGCCTGAGGATTCTCTAGAATGGTAGAAAAGCACATCTTAAGCCTAAGAATAGAAATGGCACAAATCCTGGGGTTTTCCAGGATTTGAATAAGCTTCTGTGAGAGATATCCAAGACCTACTAAATACAAAGTCTCCTTAAATGTTGCAAACCATTATAATTCTGAGATTTTCCTCTTCAAATGGTCTTTTCCTCCTATTTTTATAAGCATTCTTATAAATGTTACACAAATATCAAGGTAGTGTTCCTAAGAAAACCTGAACATAAATGGTTTTCGTAAGAACCCCAAAGCTTTGTAAGGCAGGTCAGAGCATTAAAATTTCTGAAGTATGTGACTTGCATTAGCCAAATCAAAAAAATCTCCTGAGACCATCCTGCACAGCATTATGTTCACTGTCACCCAGTTAAACATCTCACCTCAAAGTTTACTTTCTCAAAATCTTCCAGGGCCTCTACGTGGTTACCATCTTCTCTTTCCAGACACTCAGTCAAATCACGGCACCACATTATTTGAGAAATGGTCAGGATCACCTGCATGGAAGCATGGTCCTTAAGTATGGGATGCATCTCACCAGCAATGGACTCAGAGGTGGACATTTAAGGAGTGTGTTACTTGAGAAGGGTGGCCAGCAGTCACCCAGTCTGTCCTTGGTTTCCCCTGATAGTCGGCGATGGCAGCTTTGCTCAGGCGACGCAGAGAAGTGAACATGGCTTCCTCCACTTTACCAAGCCATTCCTCCACGTTGCCCCGGGCTTTCAGGCCTTTTCCCAAGCTAACCTAGCGGACAATCAGAGCAATGATAACATGTTCAGTGTGGCACTTGCCAGCCACACATCCTCTGTACTTCTATAACAGAACCCTGACACACTGAAGCCTAACCACAAATACTAGAAACTTCTATTGATGTCCCACTCTACATCTCTCTTTACCTCCTTTTTTTTTTTTTTTTTAACTGCTTCCCTTTGGAGCCAAATCCCTGAAAAAAGGAGTATATGTGTCTACATGAATTCCTTCACTTTCTTTTCCTACTTACTGCCATTTGATTTTTGGCCCCAACTGTTCCTCTAAACTTGTTAAGGTCATTAAGGTTACCAATGTTCTTTCAGTTGTCAAGTCCAGTTGATACTTTTTAGTCCTACACATATTTATTTCTTGGACTTCTAGTGACCTGACTGCCCTGCTTGTCTGGGTCTCTTAGTTCTTCTACCTTCCCTTTAACTTTCATGTTTTCCCTGGATCCTAGCCGTGGTCCTCCCCTTTCTCTTCTTCTGCACTAGTGATGAGCAAATTCTTTTGCAAGAGGGTCAATTCAGGACAAGTAAAATGTTTATAGGTTCCTGCCACTTCCGTGGATACATCTCCTGCTCTAACTGGACTGAAATCCTTGGCATTTCCCCGCACATTTCCTCTGTATGAAATGCTTTCCCTCTCATGTCTCTGCTCCATCTTCTTTGGCTGTGTGTGTGTGTGTGTGTGTGTGAGAGAGAGAGAGAGAGAGAGAAAGAGAGAGAAAGGGGGGAGAGGGGAGAGAGAGAGGGAGGGAGGGAGAGATTTCTCTCTGTGAAGTCCTGTGGTTCTCCATAATTTGCTAATGCATTCACTCCCTTGGTGTTTACTGTATGCCAGGCATTGTCCAGTGTCCTGGATACACCACAGCAAACAATGACAACTAACACTTTCATAGCACCCACTGGGTACAGTTCTAAGTAATTTACATAGAATTATTTGTAAATTATATATATATATACACACACACATTTCAAATACTATTTGAAAATCCTCAGCATCTCATTAATCAGGCACTATTACTATTCTTCATTTTATAGATGAGGTTAAAGGATGGGACTTGAATCCAGGTGGCCGGGCAGGAGACTCAGCGCTCTTAACCAGCTCACTCGTCTGCCTCTTGTGGAGAGTTGAGTAAGGCTGGGCTCCAGTTATCTCCACTCTGTTCCCAAGAACAAAGCACACACCTCTGTTACTGCACTTACTGTGGTACTTTTCAATCATTTGTTTGACTGTATCTCCACTAGAGCTCTTTGCAGGCAAGAATTTCATCTTTGTTATCCTTGAAACTGCTGAGCCCACAGAGTACGATGCGGTAGCACTTGATGAATGCTTAGAGTGACAGACAGTAAATTTCTACCCTCAACCCTAGAAGGACAACAAAGCTTCCCTATAAAGAATCATGAACAAAAACACCTCACCCGTTCTCCTTCTGGTGATAGCATCGCTAAAATATCGTTAGTGTAAATCTTTTCTGGCTCTCCTTCCACACCAGGAATTTTTCCTTCAGTAGGAGGCATGAGAGCAAATTCAAGCTTTGAAATGGAGTCAAAGCATTTCCTTAAGTGTGGCTGCACAGCTTGGGGATTTCGTGTCTGGGCCAGAATCTCCAGAAGTTCATCATTTGACAAGAAGTAAAATCTGGATTAAAGAAAATACTTAAAATATAACTTCAAAGTGAAGGAAAGCCTTATGTAGACATGAAAAATAAATCCCTTAGCCATATCTCTTTCCCAATCACTGATTTCCTGAACTTCCAACCTACCGGCCCTGGGTTTCTGGGGAGACCACGTGTCTCTACAATTGTTATGGAGACTAGTGTGGATGCATCTCAGACATCCAGAATTAGTGCCTGATACATAAAAGATAGATATTTTTCAAAAAATTATAAAAAATGCTAGCTCTTGCTATGACATTGATTTGCTCTAGAGTGAAGATATATTATTTGTTTTCCCTAGAATCTAGCCTTAGTACTTTACACCCCCCTGCTTTCAATACCTAATGTGTTGGGTAGATGGATGGGCGGTTACAGGAGCTTTATTTGGTTCTGTGAATATCCACATGTGGCCCATGCCAATGTGATCCTGCATGGGATTTTCTTAGATCTTGCCCACCAGGGCCATTTAGAGCCATGAAGACACCATAGGTAAAGAACTGGAGAAGGGGCATACCTGGATGCTCAGGGATAAAGGCCTGGCCAGAGAAGACATTTCACTTCTGGAGTGAAGGAGGCTACCTATGAGAGATCCCTTGGTTTTGGAGGGAATGAATGGTAAAGAGCCCATGGCAGGCCCCACGTGGAAGAGAGGGGGCCAGATATGCATCAGCCTAGTCAGGCTGCTCTGCTGCCTTGCCTCTCTTCCCCTTGCCCCAAACCTGGAGACCTCAGAAACCTCATAGGGAGAGGGGAGGGTTGATCACCACATAGCCTCATCATCACTAAAGCCTTTAGACCTGCAACAATCTTGGGCAGGGAAGGGGGAAGTTTTCACTTTGAAAGAAGTTCAGAGTTTGATTATTAAAGATCATTTATTGGGTTGAGGTGACAAGAGGTTTTTGTTTGTTTGTATTATTATTTGAGAATGACCAGAAAATTCATGAGGTCTGCTCAAGATTTGGTCCAGGGGCAGGGAAAAACCTGCCCCCAGCAGGGAATGCAAAGGCAGTTATTAGTTAGAAATAAAGATGCTTTTGGTTGGACTCTATCAGTCCTGCTACTTTTACCATCCAGTAATAATTAATTTGTGCCCATGCCTCTTTTTCAGCTAACAAAACAGGGGGATAACTATAAAGATTGGACCATGAGCTCTGTGAGAGCAGGAATAGTACTGTATTCGTCTTGTGTCCCCAGGAACTAACTTGGTCTGCAGCTCACAGTATGTCTTCATGAAGGCCTGCAGGGTGAAATCAACACCACATAGAGCCTCCTGACATAACACAGTAGCAGAACTAGTTCATGCAGTTCTAAGCAAAAGAACAAATAAAAGCGGATGCTTTTCAGTGGTCAATATTATCACCGGTAAATTTGTTTCCAGTTTTCTTTAAGTATCAAAAGTAGTATATAGATTTTCTCTGGCTTTGGGAGACTCAACTTGGGAACCACTCAATTAAGAGTGAAACAGACAAAAGGCACATTCCAAACCTCAAACTCTTTCATCTTTATCCATGTTGCCTGAAGGATGTTTTAGTAAGATTTGTGTATATTCTTTAAAGCCTGACCACTTCTGTTAAAACTCAACCAAATCTGGATCTTGGATTTCTCGTGGACACACATACCCTGTTCTGGTCGCCAGCAACAACCCCTCTCAACCAAGTAACCCAATAAGCACCTACCCCTGGCTGCCACAGTGCTTGTCCAAGGACAGACCTTAATGGCCATTTCCTTAACAACTAACAGGAAAATACCAGGGAAGATGAAACATTTTGCCAATGTCCTCTGTGTTACAGTACAGTGTGCCCTAAGGAATGAAGTTGGGAACTTTGGCCACCATCAAATAGTTTATCCTGGTTTTAAAAAAACTGTATTATAATGTTTATTTACATGACTATCCACCTGTTAACCATGAGCCCCATTAGGGCAGGAATCCAGCCTTTTCTTCTTTGTATCTTTAGCACTGAGCATAACATTTGGTATGTTTTTGGAATAAAGAGATGAGTAAAAATTTCATTTGGAGTTTGTGAAATGATCTCTTGGACAACTTCTCCAGTGACACTCTTAGGCCACTGATTAGTGCAAAGAAACCTGCTCAGGCAACAGAGGGTCCTCTGACTTTTCGCATGCACCTCTATGGACGCATGCACAGGCAGGCACACACATGTGCACCCAACAGTGAAACAATGCTGAGACCTAGAGTCCCTCCAGCACCTCGGGTACCTACCCACTTAATCCTCCACCAAATATTGTACCTTTATCCTTGAGCCTTACACTCCCCAATCAAGATATCAGCTGGATTGATTCACCAATTATCGTATCTTTCTTGTTTCATTCTGGTTCCCTGATGTTTTGAGGTTACAGTTTGTTTTTAAGTATATCCTTTTAAATTAATGGATAGTCTTCACTACTAAAAATATTGTAGGTTGCTTTATAAACTTACCTTGGAAAGATAACTCTTTTTGATTCTAAATATGCCTCCAGACACTTTTGAATTTGGTCAAGTAATGCATTATTATTTTGAAAAGTCTCCAGAAGTCCTGTTTATTGGGGGGGGGAGAGGTGTTGGTAAAATTGTGTTAAAATAAATAGAAAATACCATTTTAAGTGGAAGTAAAATATGATATTAACATTCTTTAAAGCTTTGGTTTTATTTGATAAAAAATGGTCGAAAAAATTTAAATTGCAGGAGGTGGGCTAACAATGTTAACTATTACTTTTAATAACATTATCTAATGGTAATTTTAATATTTACCACAGACAAACAAGTATTCAATCTGAAACAATTTTTAGCTGGCACCCCCAACTGCTGGGAGTGCATGAACCAAAGCCAAACCCAAGTACAGACCGTTGTGCATGCTAAGTACATTCTCACCTCTGGTCTTCACCTTTGTTCTTCTCTCTGCTTTTCATACCTCCCTCAGATTTGCATGTGTCTCACTTCCTCTTTCCTGCCGCTTTTTGCTCGAAAGCCACTCACTCTACCAAAAAAGCCCTCCACCACACACACACACACACACACACACACACACACACACACACACGACAGCCCCCAGCTGTTCTCTAGCCCCTTATGCTGCTGAATTTTCCTTCATAGCTTTATCATCACCAAATGACATTTATAGGTCCACACTTCTTTATCTGAAATCCCTAGGACCAGACGTATTTTGGAATCATATATATTTTTTTAATTTCAAAAGTTATGTAACAAGTCTGTGGCAGCACTCTGTGATCACACCCGTTAACATTATTGCAGCAAAAGGTTTGAATATGCATGTGGTAGGCAGAATAAAGGGTGCTCAGAGATGTCCGTGTCCTATTCCCCAGAACCTGAGAATACGTTAGTGTATACGGAAAAAGGAAGTTGGGAGATGTGACCAATGATCATGGGATGGGGAGATTATCTTGGATCATCTAGTGGGCCCAATGTAATCGGAGGGGTCCTTCGAGGAGGGAGGCAGGAGGGTCAGAGGCAGAGAGGAGATGTTAGGACAGAAGCAGAGGCTGGAGTGATTCAACTGCTGGCTAGGAGTCAAAAAATGTGGGTGACCTTCAGAGCCCCAAAGCTTAAAAGTTTTTAATTCTATCACACCATATAGTTTTTCCTTTCTGTTTCTGTTTTTATGTAAGCGTCTTTGGGCAAAGGGCATAGCCCAGCAGGCTGCCTCTGCTTGACAGGGAAGCTGTCTAGAGCTATTCACCAGAAAAAGTCATATGTTGCAGAACAACACGCAAGCTTGCTGAGGCTTTGATAAAGTTCAATAACCATGTATGTGCACACACCAATGCTTTGATTCCATCTCCTTAGAAACAGAACTTATTAAAACACATTTCAGTCTTGAGATTAGAATTATAATTTGTGGTAATATTTTTAAATGTTTTTAATGAATTAATGAAAAATAAGATGTGGAAATTTTTATGGTTATAAGTCTGTGAGAGCTTTAGCAGAATGGGTCAACTGAATGTGAATATATATCTTGTAGTCAAATTCTGACATGCAAGCCTCACTGAGACTCTGTGGCAGAATCCCCAAATTATAAAAGCAGCAAAAAGAATCAGATTCTTGGGGCGCCTGGGTGGCTCAGTCGTTAAGCGTCTGCCTTTGGCTCAGGTTGTGATCCCAGAGTCCTGGGATTGAGCCCGGCATCAGGTTCCCTGCTCAGTGGAGAGCCTGCTTCTCCCTCTCCCTCTCCCCCTGCTTGTGTTCCCTCTCTCACTGTGTCTCTCTCTGTCAAATAAATAAATAAAATCTTAAAAAAAAAAAAGAATCAGATTCTTGGGTGCCAAAACTATGAACTAAGCTGACAGGTAATAATAACAGTGATAATAATTAACAACAACAACAACAACAGTGTTCAATTCACATTGTTCAGCAAGAGTGTCGATGTGCCACAAATATTCCTGGTCATCAATGCTGACAAGAATCAAGGATTGACTGTACCCCATATTGCCAGAATCTTATAGGTGCTAAACATTTTAGATGGTTGTAAAGCCTTTTTATTTATTTTTTTTAAAGATTTTATTTATTTATTTGACAGAGAGAGAGAGACACAGCGAGAGAGGGAACACAAGCAGGGGGAGTGGGAGAGGGAGAAGCAGGCTCCCCGCAGAGCAGGGAGCCCGATGCGGGGCTCGATCCCAGGACCCCGGGATCATGACCTGAGCCAAAGGCAGACACTTAACGACTGAGCCACCCAGGCGCCCCTTTTTATTTGTTTTTAAAATTTTGTTTTATACCTGGTTGAGTAGCTGCTCGAAGAGCGTTAGGCAACCGGTTCACCTTCCTCATGATTTCTTTCCATGACTTATCCACTTGCAGGAACATCTTAGCCTCGGCAGGCAATTGCCTCTGAATATCTGGAGCATTAAAAATACTTTCTAGGTAGAGCCAGTTTCTCTGGCAGTTCAGCCACTCTTCCTAGGAGAAAAATATGGGCATTATCAAATTTTTCATCCCAAATCAAAAACACAGTTACATTAAAAATAATTACATGGGGACTCATTATATCTTTTTCATTTGGGGGACTTCTCACAGGTTCTTTGAGATGAAACCTCCTTACAAGGTCCAAGACTCACTACAGCCTAATTTCAACCCATGCTCTACTAGGTAGAGTTATAATGAATCTACTGTGTGGTAACTAGAATGGACCCAGAGAAAGAGGATTAAAATGCCCAGAGGAGACAGTCTAAGGGGAGGCAAGATACTTAAAGAACTCTGAAGGTTGGGAAGTGTTTAGTGACTATTTCCAAATACAGAAAGGGTTGTCCAAAAAAAAAAAAAAGGTTTTTTGAGTTTTTCCTTTTTTTGGCCTCAGTTATATCTATATTCTTTCCTCTCTTTTTAAAAAAGAAATATGATTCATTTTCTTCAATCAAAAAAGTAAAATCAGAACACACGGCAAGTACAGAGGACTGGAGGAAGAAGAAAATCACCCACTGCCTCTGTCACTGTTCATCGAAGAAACCAGAAATGCGGTGTCGGGACCTAGTTCTCGCTGTCCTCTGTGCCTCCCACCAGCGCATGTGTCGGCCCAACATCTGTGAGTTTCTCACTTCTCACTCTGGATTCGGGGGTTATGCCTGAGGCCTAGTGTCACAACCACTCCCTGATTTATCTCAGGTCTCTTACTTTCCAGACAGTTAATTCTTTGGAGAGTCCCCACTAGTCGGCACTTTATGGAAGGGCCCTCTATGAAAACATTACTTTGCTCTGTAGTCCCTCCCTTCATAGGGCTCAGCCATCAGTACAGGAAGCCAGACAGGGGTCAGATTATAAGGTGTTCATCAAAGAGGGTGGATTCCTGAAAATGAGCTCTATGAAACAAAGTTGGAACGAATGATCTTTTCCTACTTAGTGCCTTTATTATTTCACAGATAACATTTCATATTAGAATATTTAGAAACCTAAACGTAATTAAATCAAGCTAAACATCTGAAGTCTAAGAAAGAGATTGGATGGGAACAAAGTAAGATCAGTGTAAGTGGATTCTTTGTTCTACCATGGGATAACTTGAGGTAGAATAAAATAAAAAGGAAAGGTGTACCACAAGGAAGGGTACCAAGGAGACTTTAAGCAAGTGTGTGTTTTTCTAGTAAATACGAGGTTGTTGTGGCATTGTCAGAGGCTGTCTAAAAGCTGCGAAGGCCTGAAGCTTAGAAGCCCGGATATTCCCTGCCTGAGCTTAATGCTGTTGCATTAAGGTTTAAGCCAGTTAGTAAGTTACCAAAGCTGTCTGCCATTTTGGGATGGAAACTGGTTGAGGAGGGAAAGTCTTTCACTGGAGTGTATTCATAGGCAGATTGTTCTTAGAGGTGCTAATTCTTCTAATTGACAAGAAGGCCCTTTCTTTTCCAATTATGAAGTTATAAATATCAACTGGCCGAGGTACTTAGGGAGGGGAAGAGGGTGGTACGGAGGGAATGAGAGTAGCTCATATGAGACAAGGGCTCATATTCTTAGGGTGAAAAACCCTTGGAGCTTCTCTGTTTTTTGAACTTTGAATTCTGAAACCATTGGTGGCAGGGTTCAGTCACTGACAACACAAGTTCATTGAATCATTTCAAGGGCTGAATGATTTCAAAAGCCCTCATCTCAGGAGAAGATTCAGTTTTCATACTGGGGCAGTGATCACTTTAAAACACAGAACAAAAATAATTTTTTTTAATCTTAAGAATTAACGAATACTCAAAATGCTATCTTGAATCATGATACCCATCAGTACTTCCCATCATCTAGACCTGCATCTAGAACTCCACTATAAAATCTTTTCAGGCATGTTTTAGGTTTCTGTGAAAACTTTGTTTAAATGTGAACTTCATACCACACTGTCAGCTTTGTCTCAATAAAACTATAGATTTATAAATAAACACAAAATGTGGGCAGCATCTAGGAGCTGAGGATGATAGCCAGCAAGAAACTGAAGCCCTTAGTCCCAGAGTTGTGAGGAAATTATTTCTGCCAACAACCTGAGTGAGCTTGGAAGTGGATCCTCCTTGAGTTGAACCTCTGATGAAAACCAAGTCCTGGCCCACAACTTGATTGAACCTTTGTGAGACCCTAAGTAGGAGACTCAGTTAAGCCATATCTGAACTCCTGACCCACAGAAACTGTGATATGTATAATAAATATAGACCGTTTCATACCACCGAGTTTGTGGTATTTTGTTTCATGGCAATAATAACTAATTCAAGAGACATGGCATAATCATATAAAGAAGAACCTAGCATATTTGCATTTTCTTTACGTTCTGAATATAATAAAATGTCAACAATTAAATCTTACCTAAACTACATCATGTTTAAATGATTGGAGAAATGATTTCTAAAGCACCATGGCTCTCCAATTCTCTGAGTGCATGAAATTGCCCTCACTCACCAGTGTTTGATTAAATAAGGCAAGTTGTTTCTGCCAGTCATCCACTCGAGTTTTCAAGGGACCAACATAACGTGATGAGGCAATGGTTGCGATGTTGATGGTGCTGTCATCAAGAAGGACCTTTAAAGAAAGAAGAAGGAAATATGCAGCATTATGAGTTTGTGCTCTCAAGGATAATTACAGATGTTTAATCTCGAGAGGCCACTTAAAAGCCAACTTTTTAAATAAATAGCTTAGTCTCACCTACTGTTTCCTACCCATCCTTTTCCCTTCAATGGCTCACAACCCACTCTGACGTTCTCTCAAATGTCACCAAGAGACTTTTGATTGCCAAATCTTGGCTATTTCTGTAATTATTAATGGCACATGTTTTTTGTTTGGTTCTATACTCTTCTCTCTCCCCCGACTTTTAGGTATCTGGTACCTTCTTTACACCATTTGGTCATCTAAGCTTTTATTTCTCAAAGGATTCAAAACTTGCAAAATTAAAAAGTTTTAAATTAAAATTAAAATTATCTTCTCTATCTAATGAAACATCACTTTATCTCAATTATCTTGCAGAAGAGGGAAACTGAACTCATTCATATCAAGCTTAGAAGGACTATAAACAGTTTTCTCTCTACCTCCTTCCCCTACTTTTCCCCTTACACTACAGCAACCCTTACAGAACATGTGCATTCTGTAAAAAATGTGTCTGTTAATCTAAAGGATTTTAATTGCCCTATTTAAATTATAAATTTTTTGAGAGCAGAAGCCCCATCACCTAGCATCACTTGGCCTCCTACTACCGGACTTCATCTTGGGTTTACTCTTTCATCTACTGCCCAGAGTGACATCTGGTCTTGCTCTTCCAACCTATACCTGGCAAAGCCATCTCATCATTAGTTCTGGTGTGGGTACACCCAAATGTGCCAGGGCTTTGCTTTTTAAATTAGGCCATAAGACACAGATCCTTTTGCTAAACAAATGTGTCTTTGATTTTTTTTTAATTTAATTTAATTTTATTTATTTATTTGACAGAGAGAGACACAGCGAGAGAGGGAACACAAGCAGGGGGAGTGGGAGAGAGAGAGAAGCAGGCTTCCCGCGGAGCAGGGAGCCCGATGCGGGGCTCGATCCCAGGACCCTGGGATCACGACCTGAGCCGAAGGCAGACGCTTAATGACTGAGCCACCCAGGTGCCCCGTGTCTTTGAATTTTAAATCACTAAGAATATTCCAAACACATGGATTAGATTTATTTTCTTTTATTGTTCATAGAGTATAGCCATCTACTCCTAATCTCAAAAAATTCAAGTGAACTTAGTTTCCTAGTATGCTATAAACTTGAAATGCTCATTCATGTTTCTTTGCCTCATTGAAATGGTTTGAAATGCCCTTCATTCTCATCTATGTCTGTCAAACACCATTTATTCTTTAAGGTCCAGCATGTCTTGGCTGGTCTAGGAAGGATTCTGTGATCACTTCAGCCATAAATTATCTCTTATTTTTCTAAACTCTTCCACTGTTAACTAAAAGATTATAATTCATATATATGCTACTTTTATTGCTTTGCTAAATATTTCATGTACAAGCATTCCTGTCAATTATACATATTCATATTTTGCCTTTCCAATTAGATTTTTTCTTAGTAACTCTCATATTTCATTCCTTCATCATAATCTCCCATAGAAGATTCAGGAGTAGGTCTGACCAATCTTTACCATGGTTTTTTTCTTTTTTTTTTTTTTAAGATTTTATTTATTTGGCAGAGAGAGACACAGCGAGAGAGGGAACACAAGCAGGGGGAGTGGGAGAGGGAGAAGCAGGCTTCCCACCGAGCAAGGAGCCTGATGTGGGGCTCCATCCCAGGACGCTGGGATCATGACCTGAGCTGAAGGCAGACGCTTAATGACTGAGCCTCCCAGGCACCCCACCATGGGTTTTCAATAACCCAGTTACCCTACCTGTATGTCATCTGTGCCGCCCAGAATAAACACATCTTTGGAGTCACGGTGAGGGAGAATGACGAATTCGGTTGTTTTCCAAGAATCCTCCACCTTAGAAATAATTCACATTTTAGGATACTTAAATTCATTTCTGTTTAGGTACTCAATAAATGCATGTAGAATAAAATAAGTGAAAACTCCATAATCATCCCATTTTCCTCTTTACTGCCTTTAAAATTCTTAAAATCCTCTTCTTGGTTAAAGGATACAGATATGCTAAATTTTATTGATGAAGATTAACACATATGAATAACTTGTGGTATGTTAATGTCTACCCCTTACCACTTTATGCTTTAAATGTAAGGAAAATATTTCTTTTTACACAGGTGATTTGTAGGTATGTGTGTATTTTTAGGGTAAGGAGGTAAGTAGCTTAAGTAGAGGTAAGTAGCTTAAGTAGCTTCAGTGTCTTTTGTAGCATTTCACAGTTACTTTTTTCTGGTAGTTTGAAAGATGATGTATTTTGGTACAAAAGATCTTCCTTGGAATATGTTTTTTTTATATAAGCATGGAAATATCAAACTTTGTTGTCATCAAAATGGGCTATAAGCTAAGTAGAGAGAGGATACTGATCAAAGTGCTACTGATAATAATAATGATAATAAATGTAAGGAAATAACAGAAGGATGAATGATAATGAGAGAGTGAGAGCTGCAATGCTGAAAAACCCATCTAGATGAATCAAAAGTTGGTGATCTTCACGCTAAATATGAAAACCTACATTCCTTGATCTTCAGAACATATTTTTCAGATTTACCTTTTTAAGAATTGTTTCTAAGGCAGCTTCTCCAGAAGCCTGCCCAGAAATGTCCTGGATTTCTTGGCCAAAATCAAAAACACGCAACTCAGAGAGCTTCTGCAAGGTTAATGGAATTTCAAGGTCCACTAGGGAGGCATCAACTGTTTGTTCAATAGCTGCCCAATGTCTTGCCTTCAAAGTTGGGTTCCTCAAGTCAATGATAACTGGAAGCTGGAAAGCAAACACTCTCAAAGGCACCATGCTTTTTATCTTTTTTTTGACTATAGATATAGGAGTTTGTTTGTTTATTTCTTTTTTTTTTTCAGTTAACATATAGTGTATTATTAGTTTCAGTGGTAGAATTTAGTGATTCGTCACTTGCATATACCACCCAGTGCTCATTATGTCAAGTGCCCTCCTTAATGCTCATCACCCAATTACCCCATCCCCCCACCCACTTCCCCTACCTTAAAAACATAGCCCAAGGCTTCTGGTTTCAATTTAGGAATGTGGAGAACTGGAAAGAATACAACTTGTGCTCTTACAAAAGAAAATTCTGGACAAACTGAAAATTAATGACTTCTATTGAGCCCATCAGAAAATTGAGGTTGCAGGGCAACCAACTAACTCAAAATTTGGTGAGAGACTGGTATCTGTAGATTTCTCCACAGCAAAAAAACAGGACCTGAGAATTTGCTTACCTAGGACAGATGCCTTGGGTTGCCACTTAAGCTAGCAAGAAGATTCAGCTAAATTTTAAAAATAAATTGCTAACGAGTGAGCGTAGAGTAGCATGAGAGTGTGAAGTCCCTGGGGGCTACAAATACAAAGATGTTCACAGGGAAGATTGGGGAGAATCCTAAGAAAGTCTACCTTATGGTGTTGCCTGGGGGGAGGAACACAGCAGCCACTATTTTAACTCTAATCAACCCATTTCTCCTAGTTTCCCTATGGGACAAATGACTTAATGTCAGGGAAATGAGCAACAAACACTGTCATTTTAAGGCATTGTGATAACCCACTGTAGATTTCTGTATATACTGGGAGAAACAGAATTGGAAAAATAAAAGCTCTACTCATGGGGGGAGGGAAAGAAATACATTCTAGGCTCATTACTACAGCTGGAGGAGGGGTAGGAATACCCATGAAGGTCAACAGTCTGAGAACAAGGGACACAGTGCCTTACTAAGATAGAGGCTTAATCAGAACACCAATGGAATGCCCCTCCTCACCTCTCCCACTGGGCTAACAAATACTGAATAAAAATAACAGTGGAATACAGACTGATTAGTTGCAAGAGACAGATTCTCTCTGGGGACAATACATAGAGAGGACCCAAGGTCAGGGAGAAACAAAAATTGAAAAAATAATCTTTGGCAAATGAGCCCAACCATAAACACGAGATATCAAAAGAACAATTTGAAGGCTGTAGTATATTGAGGGTAACCATAGCAACATCAAACCTCAAATCTAGCCCAATTCCTTACTAGATTTAACATAACATGCCACACAAAAAGCCAAGTAGGAGGAAAGGCATGCTCATCTCCAGGCATAAAAATTATTTACTTCAGGGATGCCTGGGTGGCTCAGATGGTTAAGCCTCTGCCTTCGGCTCAGGTCATGATCCCAGGGTCCTGGGATCGAGCCCTGCATCGGGCTCCCTGCTCTGCGGGGTGTCTGCTGCTCCCCCTCCTTCCTGCTCGAGCTCTCTCTCACTATCTCTGTCTCTCTCAAATAAAAAAAAAAATTATTTACTTCAGTATCTACTGTACTACATAAGATGTCTGGTTTTCAATAAAAATGTAGGAACTGTATAAAAGTTAAGATAAACATACACTTACTAGATAAAAACAAAAAACAAAATAAAAAAATAAACACCAGACTCAGATATGACACACAATGTTGAAATTAATAGAGAATTCAAAATAATTGTAATTAATATGGTAATGGCTCTCATGGAAAAGGTAGGCAACATACAAGACCAGATGGGAAATGTCAATAGAAAGATGGAAGCTGGGACACCTGGGTGGCTCAGTTGGTTTAGTGTCTGCCTTTGGCTCAGGTCAGGATTCCAGGGTCCTGGGATCAAGCCCCGCGTCGGGCTCCCTGCTCAGGAGGAGCCTGCTTTTGCCTCTGCCTACACTCCCCCTGCTTGTGCTCTCTCTCTCTCTCTGACAAATAAATAAAATCTTAAAAAAAAAAGAAAGATGGAAGCTATGATTAAGAATTAAATAAATGTTAGAATGGAAAAAGACAGCAAGAGAGATAAAGAATGCCTTTGATGAGCTTGATGTCACAGCCAAGGATCCGTGGACTGGAAGATAAGTGAGTAGAAATTCTCCACACTGACATGAGAAAAAAATAGTGGTTTAAAACCCCAAACAACCAAAAACCAAAACCAAAACCATAGACAGAGCATCCAAGAGCTATAGGACAATATCAAATGGTCTAAAATATGCAATAGAAATCTCAAAGAATAACATAATGGTTGCATTTTTTTTTTTTTTCAAAATTAAAGACAGACACCAAACCACAGATCCAAGAAACTCAGGGAATGCTAAATGGGATAAATACAAACTGTAAACAACAACAACAACACACACCTGGGCATACCACATTATAAACTGACAAAAATGAAGAAAAAGAAATAATCTTGAAGACAGCTCAACCAAAAAATACATATTATCTACAGAAGAACAGGGACAAGAACAATAGAAGATTTCTTGTTAGAAACCATGCAAGCAAGAAAGTAATGAAAGGATGCTTTTAAACTGCTGAAAGAAAAAACAAAACCTGTTGACTCAGTATGATAAGTTTAAATTATCATTTGAATTATCATTCAAAATAAAGGATAAAGACTTTTTCAAAACAAAAATTTAGGGAATTCATTGTTAGCATACCTACTCAACAAGAAATATTAAAGGAAGTTCTTCAGGCTATGAGTCAGAATCTTAGATCCATGCAAAGAAATGAAGAACACTAGAAATGGAATAAAGGCAAAATAAATTTCATTTTGTTTCCTATTTTGATTGTCCTGAAAGATGATTACATAAAATAAAAATAGAGGAGAACATAGGCGGTAACCTCTTTGACATCGGCCACAGCAACTTCTTTCAAGATACATCTCCAAAAGCTAGTGAAACAAAAGCAAAAATGAACTTTTGGGACTTCATCAAGATAAAAAGCTTCTGCACAGCAAAGGAAACAGTCAACAAAACAAAGAGGCAACCCACAGAATGGGAGAAGATATTTGCAAATGACACTACAGATAAAGGGCTGGTATCCAAGATCTCTAAAGAACTTCTCAAACTCAACACCCAAAAAACAAATAATCAAGGCAAAAAGTGGGCAGAAGAGATGAACAGACACTTCTCTGAAGAAGACATACAAATGGCTAACAGACACATGAAAAAATGTTCATCATCATTAGCCATCAGGGAAATCCAAATCAAAACCACATTGAGATACCACCTTACACCAGTTAGAATGGCAAAAATGGACAGGGAAAGAAACAACAAATGTTGGAGAGGTTGTGGAGAAAGGGGAACCCTCTTACACTGTTGGTGGGGATGCAAGTTGGTACAGTCACTTTGGAAAACAGTGTGGAAGTTCCTCAAAAATTTAAAAATAGAGCTACCCTATGACCCAGCAATTGCAGTCCTGGGTATTTACCCCAAAGACACAGATGTAGTGAAAAGAAGGGCCATAAGCACCCCAATGTTCATAGCAGCAATGTCCGCAATAGCCAAACTGTGGAAAGAGCCAAGATGCCCTTCAACAGATGAATGGATAAAGAAGATGTGGTCCATATATACAATGGAATATTACTCAGCCATCAGAAAGGATGAATACCCAATTTTTACATCAACATGGATGGGACTGGAGGAGATTATGCTAAGTGAATAAGTCAAGCAGAGAAAGTCAATTATCATATGGTTTCACTTATTTGTGGAACATAAGGAATAGCATGGAGGACATTAGGAGAAAGAAGGGAAAAATGAAGGGAGGGGGCATCGGAGGGAGAGATGAACCATGAGAGACTATGGACTCTGAGAAACAAACAGGGTTTTAGAGGGGAGCGGGGAGTGGGGATTGGTTAGCCCGGTGATGGGTATTAAGGAGGGCACGTACTGCATGGAGCACTGGGTGTTATACGAAAACAATGGATCATGGATCACCACATCAAAAACCAATGATGTATTGTATGGTGACTAACATAACATAATAAAATTTAAAAAAAAATAGTAGTAATATATTGTGCATATAGTATATGTAAAGGTAAAATACAAAAACCAAAATGATGAGGTACATCAAAGGGACACAGAAGTCAACTCACAGAGTTCTCAATAGCCGAAGTTGTAATGATTTAAGCAAACAATAAATAATGTAGTATTGTATTATAATACAAATTATAAAATAAATATCCATGAGTTTATATTGACATAAATAAACAACCGAATGGATGGTTGGATTACTAGACAGATAGATAAGCAGAGAACAGATAAATCTATACAGAAAGATACAAATTATCAACATCAACAGTGAAAAATGGGACATCACTTCTGATCCCACATACCTTTTTTTTTTAAAGACTTATTTATTTATTTTAGTGAGAGAGAGTGAGTTGGGGGAGTGGCAGAGGGAGAGAATCTTCAAGCAGACTTCCTGCTGAGCACAGAGTCCAACACAAGGCTCGATATCACAACTCATGAGATCATGAACTGAGCCGAAACCAAGAGTCGGAAACTTAACCGACTGAGCCAGCCAGGTGCCCCAGATCCCACATACTTTTAAAGGATAATAAAGAAATATTATGATCAACTCTATGTCTACAAATTCAACAATTTGGATGAAATGGACCATTACTTTGAAAAATACATTATAAAACCCCTCAAGAAGAAATAGATAACCTAAATAATTCAATATGTATTAAAGAAATTCAATTTGTAGTTAAAAGCCTTCCGAAAAAGGAGACTTCAAGCTGAAATGGCTTCACCGGTGAATTGTACTAAACACTTAAAGAAGAAATAATATTAATTCTATACTCTTTTCTCCAGAAAACAGAAGAAGGAACCCTTCCAAACTCATTTTAATGTATAAAAAAAGCTCCTAAAATTAAAAACTGAATTTAATAACATCACAGGATATAAGATCAATATACAAAGGTCAATAGTATTCAATAGTATTCTGCTATATAGCAGCAATAAACAACTGGAATTTGGAATTAAAAACAATATTATTGGGACGCCTGGGTGGCTCAGTTGGTTAAGCATCTGCCTTCAGCTCAGATCATGATCCCAGGGCCCTGGGATCAAGTCCCACAACGGGCTCCTTACGGGAGCCTGCTTCGTGTATGCTCCTCTCTCTCTCTCTGACAAATAAATAAATAAATAAAATCTATTTTTTTTAAAAAAACATTATTTAGTATAACAAAAAGTGTTTAATTATAAAACTAACAAAATACATGCAGAATCTGTGTACTGAAACTATAAAACTTCGATGAAAAAAATAAATGAAGAGATATGCTGGTAACAGACTGGAAAACTTCATCAGGTTAAGATGTCAGTTCTCTTCAAATTGATCTATACATTCAACACAATCCTTCAAAAATTCCTGGCAATTTTTTTTTTAAAGATTTTATTTATTTATTTGACAGAGACAGAGATAGCGAGAGTAGGAACACAAGCAGCGGGAGTGGGAGAGGGAGAAGCAGGCTTCCCCCCGAGGAGGGAGCCCGATGTGGGACTCGATCCCAGGACTCTGGGATCATGACCTGAGCCGAAGGCAGACGCTCAACGACTGAGCCACCCAGGCGCCCTCCTGGCAATTTTTTATACAGATTGACAACCTAATTCTAAGATTTACATGGAAAGATAAATAAATTAGAATAGACAAAATGATTGTGAAGAAGAAGAACAAATTTGGAGGACTTACACGTACTACCTGATTTCAAGACTTACTAGCTATAGTTATTAAAACAGTATAGTATCGGCGAAAGAATAGACTCACAGAACAACAAAACAGAATAGAGTCCAGAAATAAACTAAAAAATATAGTCAGCTGACTTCTGGCAAAGGTGCAAGGGCAGTTCAATGGAGAAAGGATAGTCTTTTCAAATAATGGTGCTGGATTGAGTGGATATCCAAATGTAAAAAATGTACACCTTGACACATCTCTCATATTTTATGCAAAATAACTCAAAATAATTCATAAACTTTAATGTAAAAAAAAGTAAAACTATAAAACTTCTAGAGGCAAATACAGGAGAAAATCAGTGTGACCCTTAAGTTTAGCAAAAACATTTTTAGATAATATACTAAAAAGATAATCCATAAAAGCAAAGAATATAAATTGAACTTTATTCATATTAAAACCATTTGCACTTTGAAAGTCACTGGTAAGGGATTGAAGAGACAAGACACTGACTGGGAAAAAATATTTTCAGGTTACATATTTGAAAAAGGAGTTGGATCCAGATTTCAAAAGAGAACTCTTAAAACACAATAATAACAAAACAAGCAACCCAATTAAAAATGGGGCAAAGAGCCAAACAGACATTTCAGCCAAGAAGATAAAAGGATGGAAAAAAGACATTTAAAATATACCCCACATGATTAGTCACTGGAAAAATGCAAACATGACTGCCATGAGATACTTCTATACATTTACTCGAGTGACTGAAATGAAAACCAAACCAAACCACACAGAAAACCTCCCGAGCAATAAGGAGTGCTGGGGAGGATGAGGAACAGCTAGAATTCTCACACACGGCCCGTGGGAAGGCAAAATGTTATAGTCCTTTGAAAAACAGTTAGGCGAGTTTCTTCTAAACATATACTTACCACACCACCGACAAATCCCACTCCTAGTTACCTACCCAAGTGAATTAAAAACTCATGTTGACTCAAAAAGCTGCACAGGACTGTTGAGAATAGCTTATTAATAATTGCTATAAAACTGGTCACAACCCAAATGCCTTTCAACAGGTGAATGGAAAAACCAACTGTGATAATCTATATAATGGAATTATTACTCAGCAATAAAAATTAACAAACTATTGATTCACCTAACAACATGGAAGAATCTTTTTTTTTTTAATTTTGTATTTCAATTCAATTAACATATAGTATATTATTAGTTTCAGAGGTAGAGTTAAGGGATTCATCAGTTGCATATAACACTCAGTGCTCATTATATCATGTGCCATCCTTAATGCCCATCACCCAGCTACCCCATCCCCTCCAACCTCCCCTCCAGCAATCCTCAGTTTGTTCCCTATAGTTAAAAGTCTCTTATGGTGGGCGCCTGGGTGGCTCAGTTGGTTAAGCAACTGCCTTCGGCTCAGGTCATGATCCTGGAGTCCCTGGATCGAGTCCTGCATTGGGCTCCCTGCTCAGCAGGGAGTCTGCTTCTCCCTCTGACCCTCCCCCCCTCATGTGCTCTCTCTCATTCTCTCTCTCTCAAATAAATAAATAAAATCTTAAAAAAAAAAAAGTCTCTTATGGTTTGTCTCCCTCTCTGATTTTGTCTTATTTTATTTTTTCTACCCTTTCCCTATGTTCATCTGTTTTGTAAGAATCTTTTTAAAAAAATATTCCAATTCACAGAGATGTGCAACTATCATCACTATCTAATTTTAGAACTATCACTATGAACTACTTATTGCTATCTAATGACCCCAAAAGGAAACCCCATACCCATTAGCTTGCATCACCCATTTCTCCTCCACCACAGTGTCTGGTAACTACTAAATTTACCTTCTCTATTGATTTCTCTACTCTAGACATTTCATATCTATGACACCATATGCTATGAAGTCTTTCTAGGATTGGCTTCTTTCACTTAGTATAACATTTTCAGGCTTCATCTATGCTATAGCATGTATCAAAACTTCATTCCTTTTTATTGCCGAGTAATATTCCATTGTATAGATATATTACATTTTGTTGATTTATTCATTAGTTGATGGACATTTGGGGTTTCTCCACTCTTGGCTGTTATGAATGATGTTGCTATGAACATTCATATACAAGTGTTTGTGTAAATATATGTTTTCAATTCTCTTAGATAAATGTCTAGGAGCGGAGTCCCTTTTGAGAAACTGCCAAACTGTTTTCCAAAGAAGCTATACCACTTTATAATCCCACCAGCAACACATGAGGGTTCCAACTCTCCAGATCCTTACCGACACTTATTATATAATCTATCCTTTTGATCATAGCCATTCTGATGGATGTGGACTGGTGGCTCATTGTGGCTTTGATTTGCATTTCCCTGATGGCTAATGACGTTCAGCCTCTTTTCATGTATCTTCTGTGGGGACATGTCTGTTCAAATCCTTTGCCCATTTTATTTTATTTTAAAGATTTTATTTATTTATTTGACAGAGACAGACATAGTGAGAGCAGGAACACAAGCAGGGGGAGTGGTAGAGGGAAAAGCAGGCTTCCCGCGGAACAGGGAGCCTGATATGGGACTTGATCCCAGGACCCTGGGATCATGACCTGAGCCAAAGGCAGACGCTTAACGACTGAGCCACCCAGGTGCCCCTCCTTTGCCCATTTTAAAGGATTATTTCTCTTTTTATTTTTGAGTTAGAAGAGTATGTTATATATTCTGAAGAGAAGTATCTGGATGTATTTTAAATGCATTTTTCTAGGTGAACACTGCCAGACCCAAAAGGCTGCATATTGTATAATTCCATTTATATCGTATATAAAATGAAGAACTTTAGGGACAGAAAACAGGCCAGTGGTTGCCTGGGGTTGGCTGACTACAAAGAACAGCTTATGGGACTTTGGGGGGTGATGGAACTATTCTGTATGGTACTGTTGTGTTTTATACACGACTCTACCCATTTGTAAAACCCCACAGAACTGTATACCATAAAAAGTGACTTTACTATATGCAAATATTTTTTAAAAATCAACCAGAACTCTGAAGGAATGCAAGATGAATAAAGACTGTGACAAATAAATTTGTTTACAATCATATGATATAATCACACGACGGGCAAATGAAGAAGAAAGAAGCTGACATAAGAAACTTTGGGAAAGTGTTTTGACTAGATATTGTAAAACTAAAGAGGGAGACACTGCAAAAACGCTCTTCTTGTTGTGCCTAAAGTTTTGCTTACTTTTCCTACCCATGTCTTCTTTTAGTCCTTTATCTCATCTTTTAAAAAAATCTAAAACTGCTTAAAAGGATAAAATCATAATACTTTTCATTCCCATTTCAAGTACTGGTTCAGCAGTGGTAAGTTTCAAAGAGCCAGTCTCACACACCCACTGCTGGGCTTCCCAACTGTCAAGTCATAGTACATCTGGAAAATGGCATATTTATTTGGTGCAGTGATATAAATGGACAAGGCTGCACTAGCCTCATTTGGCTGTCTAAGGCCTGAGTGGATCAGTATCTTGGCATACCTACAACCCATTACTGCACTAAGCTCCCTACCACTTGGGAAACTCTTACTCTAAATGCTGCTTGAACCAAGGTATTCAATTCCATGATTTGGCCAGTTGAAGATAGGGATGTAGGGCCTCTGAAAAAATTTGTCTATTCTTTCTTTTCTCTCTGCAAAGCTGACTAATTTAAACAGGGAAGAATTCCTGACTTTAGTCTCATTAGCATCAAGTAGTAACAGACTGACCTGGAGTTTTTGAAATAATTTCTACCGAACTTACCTTTTCTTTCATTTTTTCCACCTTATGTTTTAGCTGGGGAACTACACTGTTGGGTGGCAAGCCCTTTTCCAATTGAGTCACAAATTTGGCATATTTAGAAACTTGACTATTCAGGAATTCTGGATCCAGGCAGTCAAACTTGGACTATAAATCAGAAAGAGAAAAAAAAAAGTTAAGACATATGATAAAGGCAAGCTTGAAATAGTAAAATTTTTTACTTTACTAGACTTTCCAGTAGTTAAATTGTTAATCCAAATCAACTCTTTACTTTTGGAAATGGCTTTACATATTAAGATTGCTAATAGTGTATCAGGCATCACTTGCTTATTCCTTTCATGTTCTTGTCTCCTACATCATCAAATGTAGTATTGTAATCCCTGTAATTTATTCCTGAGGGCCAACTCTTGGAAGGAGACCAATAGCTACTTCTTACTCTTACTAACTAGAACTTTCTCACCCAGTAGTCTCCTATTATTTGATTATGTACCCCTTTAATATAAATGATTTAAAGATATACCCCAAAATATACATGTATCTATAAATATATTTCTCAGTTCCATAAACAGAGAAAGACAAATACTGTATGATCTCACATGTGCAATCTAAAACAACAACAAAAAAATGAAATGAAAGGAAACTTACAGAGAACAGACTGGTGGTTGCCAGAGGTAGGGCTGGGAGGTGGGTGAAATGGGTGAAGGAGTAAGAAGATATAAATGTCCAGTTATAAAATAAATAAGTCATGGGGGTGTAATGTACAGCATGGTGACTATAGTTAACAATACTGTATTGCATATTTGAAAGTTGCTAAGAGATCTTAAAAGTTCTCATCATAGAAAAAAAATTTCATAATTATATATGACAATGGATGTTAACTAGACTTACTGTAGTGATCATTTCACAATAGATACAAATATTCAATTGCTATGTGATATACCTAAAACGAATATGTTATGTGTAGTTATAAACCTTCATTTTTCTTTTTTTCCTTCTAGGTTCAACATTTCCTTTCTGTCCTCTAATGGGTCTTTTTGTATGTTTGGGATGACATCATCCCATTTTGGAAGCTTCTGTTCTGAACTATGGTGGTAATTAGAAAACTCTCTAAGCTTTTTCTTTATACCTCAGGAGTTTTTCTACATACCTCAGGAGCTTTTTCTACTTCTGAGATAAGTGACAAAGGAGTTATACAAGAGCACTTAAAATTCTTTGATATTATATCATATATTTGTTTGTTTTCTATTTTCTTCACCAAAAGGTAAGTTCTGTGAGGGTTTGGACATTATCATTTTTAGTCTTTCCTGGTATACCCAGCACTTAAAACATTATCTGGGAAACACTTTCTGTGTTACTGGTGTTTAAACCAGACATGTGACTTCTAATTACAGGTATCAGCACAAGTAGGCTGAATGAGCAAGTGTAAAACAGTATCTGTAAAGTTGATGGTATTTCTAACATGTCCATATCACACTTGAAAGAAGAGATGATCATCTATTCTGCCTTCTAGAGGGTTGACCCTTATCAAGGTTTGAATATACAGGTAGATCCTAAAAATCAAATTCTATGGTGGCTGTTGGTACTTGGCCCCCTAATTAAGGTAATTTACTGTTGAGCTCTTAAGGGAAGATCCTAGATCTCATTACTCTGATTCTATTCTATCACAGTGAACAAAATGGCTTCCTTTTTTTCAAAACCAGAACAGAAACAGAAGTTAACAGAAATCTAAAGTGTGTAGATCACAAATAAAATCCTACAATCTTCAAGAACACTTGGGTGTAGTATATCATGACAACATTGTATTCAGAAGCCACAAAGCAGTTAAACATCATGCAGTGAGATCTTTTGATGCTTCCTTCATTTAGCCTTCTTAAATGGAGGACCCAAGAAGCCTGTCTTACAAGAATGCATTCTGCTCTGTGGTATATAGTGACAGAAAGACCTTTACCCATTTCACTAGAAAGCTGATAACAATTACCATAAAACTGTAACATTGCATATTTTACTGAATTAAGACTACTCCAGATTGTTAAAAATAATTCTTATTATTAGGATATTAAGTTTAGTTAATAAAAAATGATTTTGGGATTGGGAGGTTTTTTTGTTTTGTTTTGTTTTACCTTTAACCATTCTTGTTGGAGTTGATCCCATTCAGATAAAGAATCCCAGAGCAATTGTTTGAGTTTCAATTCAGCACTAACTTCTTCCAGAGCTTCAAACTTCGATACTTCTACCTTTAAAAATATAATAAGCAAAATGCACTATTTAGTTTTCAGATGTAAAGATCTTATGTTATCCTCCTATCAGTAATTCTTGATACGGTGACTACTTAGCAGAATATGGGTGGGTCCTAAATGGGGAAATAAAAGGAGTGATATGAACAAATGAAAAAAATAAATCATAAACCCTATGTATATTCAAATTTCCACTTGAGTGACAAAATACAACTCTTTATATTTCCTCAGAACTTAAATGTTCAGCAAAGATATAAATATGATGATTATCATCGGCATTGTTCTTCAAGTTGGATCATACATGCCTGGCCTTTTTTAGGAAAACAAATGAATTTTCAGAGGTACTCATTTCCTTTGGGACATGTATAGCTAGATGACAGAAGAAGGAGATTTCTGTGCAGTAGCTGGTGGAGGGGATGGGGAGATTTAACATGGAAAGAACAGCCTGGCTTCTACCTCTTTCTAAACCCCTGGGTTGTATATGAACACTGTAGGGAGAAAGACTGCAAGAAAATCAAGAAGCTGTTTTCATAGAAGCATTTTAAAACTGCCTTGGCTTAGAAATGAACAAACCCCCAGGGGGGTTGTTTGCACAGAGATAAGCTAGGGCTTTGAACATTCCATCCAACAGCAGCTGAATACACATTCTTTCCAAGTGCACACAGAACATTCCCTAGGATAGATCATATGATAGGCTACAAAACAAGTCTTAGCAAATTTAAGATTAAAATCATACCAAGTATTTTTTTCAATCAGAATGGTTTGAAATTAGAAATCAACAAGAGGAGAGCTGGAAAATTTATAAGCATGTGGAAACTAAACAACACACTCCTGAACAACCAGGTTAAAGGGGAAATCAAAGGGAGATAAAACAAAAAAAACTTGAAACAAATGAAAACACAGCATGCCAAAATCTATGGGATGCTGCAAAAGCAGTTCTGAGAGGACAGTTTATAGTGATAAATGTATGTATTAAAAAATAGGAAGATAACAAACAATTTTACACATTAAGGAAGCTGAAAAAGGACAAACTAAGCCCAAAATTAGCAGAAGGAAGGAAATAAAGATCAGGGTGGAAATAAATTAGAGACCAGAAAAATAGAAAAGATCAATGAAATTAAGAGCTGTTTTTTCAAAAAAGATGAACAAAATAGATAAACATTTAGCTAGATGAAGAAAAAAAAAGAAGACTTAAATAAAATCAGAGGAAACTTTATACCAGATACCACAGAAATACAAAAAATTGTAAGAGACTACTATGAATAGTTATATGCCAACAATTAAATTATATCACTTAAAAGAAATAGATAAATTCCTAGAAACATATAACGTACCAAGACTGAATCAGGAAGAAATAGAAAATCTAAATAGACCAATAAGGAATAAGGAGATTGAACCAATAATCAAAACCTCCCAACACAGAAGAGTCCAAAAGTAGATGGCTCCAGGAGCAGATGGTTTTACTGGTGAATTCTACCAAACATTTAAAGAAGAACTAATGCCAATCTTTCTCAGGCTTTTTCCCCCAAAACTGAAGAGGTGGGAATACTTCCAAAGTCATTTTATGAGATCACCATCACCCTGACATTATGGATCTAACCTTGTCTTCATTAAGAATTAGAAGTAATTTCCTTAGGCCAGTTAGATCTTCACTCCTATCCCCCAAGTGACTGAGAGCTGCAGAAGGAAGGGTAGACCTGAGGTGATCATGAAAGAAGAATTAATCAAGAATGGATACAGAGTGTGGAAAGAAGGGGACATACTTTTATTTCAGGCTCTGGCTCAAGCAGTGCTATCCTTTCTGACCCAAGATGTGCCCACCTGTAGTTATAACTTTTTATCAAGCAATGTTTCCTCAATACCTCACTTCCCACTGCATACTGTCCCATCTTGTAGGTCAGTTAACTCAACCTGGGAACAACTTTGAACCCTAGTTCTCCAATGCACAAATCTCAAGTACCGCACCAGTGACATTGTCTAGAGTCACACTCATTATTTTGCAGATTGCCCCCACCAAGTCCTGGGCTCTGGAATGGACAGCTCCTCATATAACTTTCTGGCCATCCATCTGGGGCTCTGGAATAGATAGGTACATTCCCACGTGAGGTCCAGACACTCCTCCAAGACTGCTGGAGAGACTAACAATACCTCTCATTGCTGGTGGCTCCCTGGGTTTGACCCTAGGAATCTCTTCTTTCCTATTCTCTTTTCTTTTTGGTCTCTTTAATAACTGTTCAGAGCACTTAAAGCTCTTACTCATTTCTCTTCATTTTTCTTGAGACTTCGAAACCTACCCTTTTTGGGATCCACCTATTCCCTGGCTTAGCCAAATTCTCTTCTTTCACCAAATTGGCGCATCAAACCAGGGCAAATCAGGCAACATTCATGGAATCGTAACACACATAAGAATGTAAAAGAAGCTTGAATATTATTCAAGAAAGACTAGAGGGGCTTTAATTGACCACGTTAAAAAATCCACATACATATTTTAACAAAGAAAGTGCAGTCCCTGGTCTGAGGGTTTACCTATAATTCATCATTATTTTTTTATTAAGAAAGATACTTTGTCTCTCATGTGTACTAATCTTTAAACACTTCAAAGGCAGAGAACACATCATATTTGTATTTCAGACCATTCTGGCACAATGACTAGCACATAGGTGTCCAAACATTGAATGTTAGAGCCACATTCTTGAGGGTGGTTGTGCATCAATGCCATTTCTATGCATATGTTTTAAAAACAGATGTGTAGAGCTGTCCTTACCTTAAAATTCTTCTGATAGGATTTATACTGAAACGCACGTTTTTGAAGATCATCTAGAACTACCTGCAGCTCATTCAACATGAGCTTTATTTTGCCTTGGTCAGCAGTGATATCCAAAATCTGTGGATCCTGTAAAATTAAGATAATTTTTGATTAGTCATTCCTACTTTTGATGTTGACCATTAAATTAAATGAATTCATAAACATTTTCAAAAAATATTTTTCTAATTCTCTTTTCACTCTGATTTTTAGAAAATGTTAAAATGGTTGCTTTTCTTGCATTTTAAAGCAATAGATGTACCTTGTAAAAAAAAGTACAGAAATAAATAAAGAAGTGTCATGGGGACAATATTGTTTTTAAATAGTACCTAATATATTTCCCCCACCTACTTTCATTCCCTACACTTCCTCAACCAGCATGACTTCAGGTAAGGAGAGGAGCATGCAATAGGGAAGACAAGGAAGAGCACATGATATAAGGGAAATTCCTATTGTACATTCATGGAAATAGGAAGCCCTTTGATTTCTGAGAGGTAGGAAGAGAGAAGATAAGGAATAAATGGTCAGATATCAATTTTCCTGGCTGACCTGTTGAGGTGAATGGGAATGGAAAGGTTCAGGAGCAAAGAAGGAACACCTAACTAGGTTTGGGAGAATCTGAGAAATTGGAAGAATCTGAGAACTATTATAACCATAGCTTGGGAGGATAATCTCTGATTTGGCATGGTACTGCATTCAAAATGGCAACATGTTCTAGAAAAAGCTAAGGGAAGTGTCTAGCAGAAGGGCCTTGTGTTTACACTCTGGTGCCTTCATGGCTTGGGTTGGCACTTGGTGGATCATGAAGTTCTCATGTGCCTTGATTCTGGCAATGGGAACCACAGCTAGTACCGGAGGACTAGAAGGAGCCTAAGATCAGGATGAGGAGGCCACAGATCACTTGAGACTGTAGACTATAGCAGAAATGATGGATTACAGCAGGAGGGGCCAACACGGTACCCAAAGAATCAAGAAGGACCCTTAGCTAACAGCTGCTTGGGACCACCAGGCCCAGCCCAGCCAAACTGCACTAGAAGTCCTATGGTCCAGAGGACACTAAGAGGTCTGGATGCCCCCTCCCTCCATCCACCAGGAGGAAATGCACATTTCCACTTACGGGCAAGACGCTGGAGATAATGGTGGCAGGGGTGAAGAAATGCCCAATAGGCATTTTGAATTGAATTAAAATCTATCAGAAAGAGACCAAGCTAGAATGAAATAGACATTTCAAACTGAAATAAATTGCATTATCATCACTTGTCACACTGAGGTTTTTTTCTCCAACTCCCTCTATCATCAAGAGTAGAGGTCTTGACAGCAAGATGGTATCATTTATAGAAATAATAAGTTTGCAGTTTTTTGCTCAAGAGTGATAATGAATTCATTCCAAACCTTCTATGGAAGAAGCACTTGCTGGAGAGAATCTCTGCTGTCATTTCTGTGTGTGTGCATCATGTTTTTTACAATGCACGATTACACATGACGCACTTGCCAGCACTTTTGCTCTCTCTAGCAATCCACATACATGTATACAGTTAATAGCAGATTATCAACCATTGGAAGCAGACTGCCTAAGCTTGAATCCTGGTTCCTCCATTTATTATGTGTGTGACCCTGCGTTACTTAACCTCCCTGTCCCTTTGTTTTCTTCTCTATAAAATATGAATACTAAAACCTTATTGGTGTTCTGAGAATTAAATGAGTTAAAACATGCAAACATATATAAGAATGTTCCAAGAAGCATTATTCATCCTTGTCAAAAACTGTAAACAACCCCAATATCCAATATCCATCAGTCATGGAATAATTAACTTGTGGTATACAATGAAATACTACGTGGCAACAACGATGGATAAACTACATCCACTAACAGCATCATGGGTGAATCTCAGGAATATAACAAACTAAAATAAAGGACATACTGTATGATTCTATTTAACTGAAGTTCATAACTGAAGTTCATAAACAAGCAAAACTGATTTATAGCATTAGAATTCAGGGTAGTGGCTTCCTTTGGGGAGGAAGAAAAGGCTAGTGATTCAAGGGAATCCTAAAGGTACCAGTAACATGAGTAATGGATACTTGGGTGTGCTCATTTCTGATAACTCATGAAGTTGTAAAGTTATTATAGTTATGTTCAGTTTTTTTCTGGGTGAAAAATACAAAAATATTTCAATATGAAAATAAAAACAATACAAAGACCTTAGAGCAGTACTTGACACATAGTAAGTACACAATAAATATTAGCTACTTTTATGTTTCCATGTCAATATGTATAAACATACTTTGTAATCTTTAATGTCTACATTGTATTCCTTTGAGCAAATGTACCCTAATACCTTTTATTCATTCTCTGTTGATGGACACTGAAATGTTCCCATTTTTTTCTGATTTGATTATAATTTTATGTGCTTTTATACTTCTGTGATCAGATTTAGTTAATATTAATAATAAAATAGATCATTACAAAATTATATTTCTTTTAACATATAATGTATTATTTGCAAAATTATATTTTCATGTATGCTGCTTCTGTTAAGAATCACCCAGCTATCTCTTCTAAATTCTTAAAGAATTTCCCTTGTATCTTTTGTATAGCAAAATTGGTACAAAGTTAACCAAATATTCTTCATTACCATTTATCAATGTAGATAGAGTCTTCTTCTTCCTAAATGTGAATTTCCTAATATGTACCTAAGCAAATTTTAAAATTGTGGCAATAGCTACAAAATATGTTAAAAAGTTATAGAAGCACTCATTTCAAAATAATAAATACAAGTCAGGAGAAAGGAAATATTACATATGCTTTATTTGCAATGGTCTGGAATTTATTCAGTACTTAGAGGTTCAGAAACATGTTCGGTTTTTAATAGCTCAAAGATACTGTTAATGGATTAGAACGAAACCACAAAAATAGAAGTTAAGTCAGGTTAAAATGAACTATGATCCTAAAATAGCTTAATTAGAATATAATAGTCCAGTTTTACACAGATTATTATTTTTTTAATTTTTTTTTTTTAAGATTTTATTTATTTGTGAGAGAGAGAATGAGAGACAGAGAGCATGAGAGGGAGGAGGGTCAGAGGGAGAAGCAGACTCCCTGCTTAGCAGGGAGCCTGATGTGGGACTCGATCCCGGGACTCCAGGATCATGACCTGAGCCGAAGGCAGTCGCTTAACCAACTGAGCCACCCAGGCGCCCCGATTATTATTTTTTTAAATCCTGCTGTAGCTTACTTGTGCTTGTAGCTTTACTTCATTCACTTCGTTGGTTAGGTCTTCAAGGTCTCTACCCAAATGCTGAGAAAATTGCCTGATCCTTGTTTCTCGGTCACCCACGGATTTATCGATGGCGTTCTGAACTGCAACAATGGATGGCTTCATAGTAGCAAAAACAGCGAAGTCTTCCGGAGGTGTGGGGACCTGATACTGTTCAATGAGCTTGTACATCTGAATCACTACATTGCCTTCATCTTCAAGGCTTTCGATCTAAATAGAAACATTGGTTGCTTGTTAAATATATCAGAGTCTGATTATTCCCTTTCAGTGTTGTCTTCTAGGAGACAGTCACTGTGCACTGTGAACATCTCACATTCATAACCAGGACAGGAGGAGTGTGCTTAATGGTACAATCCCCCTGGCTAAAGCCTGCTGGTTGATAAAGACAGTCATTGCTACGGTACAGGTAATCAGGCCCAGGAGGTAAGTTGTTCGGAGCTGAGCACAGTTAGTATGACTCTTACAAATGTTTATTGTTCTCTTCTCTCTCTCTTTTGGTCTCCAGTAGCATTAAACAGTGCCAATATTTGGTTTTCAGGGACAACATGTGCTGGCAGAATGCTCCACTGCAATTATCTGAGCTCGCAGGCATGCATGCTGAGCAGGGATTGTCCCAGAGCAGCCCCTGAGGTATGCATGGGCCACGATTCTGGCTGCATGTTCCCTACTATCCTTTAATAAATACTTTTACTATCTTCAACGGACTACTAAACATCTTCACTTTGATGTCCTATCTTCAGTGGATGGTGCCTTTCCTAATTTTCTGGGAAGGGACTCTCCAGTTTGGGGGGAACCCTCCTCTTCCACTCTGCCACGTGGCTAGAGCGGGAACAGCCATGTTCACACAACTTGACCCAAACCCCTGGCCACAAGTTGAACCAAGCAGCACAAAATTGGGACCTGGCGAACCCCGCTTAGTCTCCCTCTCGCTGAACATGGGAAGAGTTAGACTGTAGGGGTTGGCAGAGGCTATTTGCTTCCATGTGGAAACAAAGCATGTCCTTGACACGAGAAGAGAACTGCACAGAGGCTTTTATTTATTTTTTTTCAAGATTTTATTTATTTATTTATTTGAGAGCAAGAGAGATCACGATGGGGTGGGAGGGGCAGAGGGGGAAGCAGGCTCCCCACTGAGCAGTGAACCTGATGCAGGACTCGATCCCAGGACCCTGGGATCATGACCTGAGCTGAAGGCAGCTGCTTAACTGACTGAACCACCCAGGCGCCCTGCACAGAGGCTTTGAGAGAAATGATTCCCAACCCTTCACTTGGGAATCACAATTCCATGATCACTGATCACAAATAAGAATTGCAGGAAATTGTGACTGAGAGCAGTGGCTTTGTGGCCAGAGACTCAAAGTTGAGCTCCACCACAAACTTTGTGATCTTGGGCAACATAACTTTTTTCAGTCCCTGTTTCCTTATCTGGGGAATGAGAAAAAATTATCTACACTTCTTAAGTTTTTGTGAGGATTAAAAATGTAATAACATACATAAAAGACTTAGCATAATTCCTGACTAGCAGTAAGAGTTTGATCAATGTTAGCTCTCATTATTGCTGTGATGTAGGGCGTTCACTTACATTGTCTGAAAGTGTTTCTGATATTTTGACCGCTGTTTATTGACCTTCAGTCCCTCAATTTCTCTTATTTGTCTTCCTTATCTACCACAAGAACTGGAATATTGAGTTATATGAAAATCAACTCACCCTTTCCTGAATTTCATCAAGAAATACTAAGCTGTTAACATATTCTATGGTGGTTGTTGGAACAAACTCAAGTTTATACTCTGCATCTTGTGCCTCAGAGATAATGGCATCCACTTTTTTCTTGCTTTGACGGGGAAGCATGTAATTTAGCACCTAGGAAAGAAAAAGAAAATGTGAATCATAACTATTTAAATATTTTCATTTCATTAAATATTTTAAAGAAATCCTAATTGAATGTTAAATCAGCAGCTCTGTCTTCTGTAACCTACAGTAGGGGTCAGCAGAGGTTTTCTGTAAGGACTGGATCGTGACTATTTTAGATTTGCAGGACAGACACAGTCTGTGTCACAAGTACTCAACTCTGCCCTTGTAGTGAGAAAGCAACCATAGGTAATACAAAAGCAAATTGTCATGGTTGTATGTACAACACAGGTGGCAAACTGGATTTGCCCTGTGGGCTATAGTTTGCCAGGCCCTGCTTTACACCATTGTCTCGTTGGAGGTATTTGACAATATTACAGGTATACTCTGGCTCCAAAGGAAGACATGAAAGTTATTACAGGATCCATACAAATGTCCTCAGCAATACCATTCACTAAAATATAATCAGATCTTTAGGGACAGTTTCAGAGCAGGAAATGATGTCCTAAACTGGATCTCAGTATCATTTAGTCAACAAACATTCCCATTAGAACACTGAGCTGTTATAGTGGTGTCTCTTGGGCAGGAAGCCTTGAAATGCTCCAACAAAGGAAAACAAAATGGGAATAAGAGGCTAGTCTGAGGCCTGCAAGTCCCCTCCCTTCCCTCAACTGAAAGCTGACTATGCTTGGGACAGAACAAATATGGGACTTTTCTTAGGAATTAAGGATGCCCAGTAGGTTATGTTAATTTTAACATATTTGCAATACTACAAAATAAAGATAGTCTATTTGTAGTAGAAAAATTGTAACATAATTATAGAGACTATAATTAAAGTTTTTCCTTGTTTATAGTTACCTCCAAGCATCGCAAAGGTGATGGAATTAGTTTTTCTTTTAGCAGCTTTGTATCAATGAGCAGCAATCCTACATTTCTGGTAGGTCTCAGAGCTACTGCATCCTTGTGCTGTCTGTGATATTTTTCCAGTTGTACTCTAAAAAACTCAACATCTACATAAAATTATCATATAAAGCATAAAATATATTAAATTTTAAAGGATCATTATGAAATACATTAAAAATCATTGCATTAATAAATTTATAGATGTATTTATAATGCTATTTTCCTGATGTATAATACCTTGAATAACTTCAAAATGTTAATTCATAATGCTTTATATTTTATTCTTGTACTAAAGAAAATAATATTCAATAATGTAAATACATTTTCTGGCTCCTACTAAGAGATGGCAGATGAAAATAATTTGTAATTGTATTAGAGGATCTAGTCAGGAATGGACTGGATCTTAGAGTCAGGTTGGAGTTGGGCTTCATGGAAGGGTTCTCCCACATGGCACCTCCATATAAAGCATTCTGAGGATATTAATAACAAAAGTGTAAAACACAAGAGATCAAGCATAGCTGGTTATCTCCATTCCTTTTCCCAACACCTCTCTGCCAATCCTGCTCCCACATCACGGCTAAGGCTTTGCCGATGTGCATGTGCCATATGCTGCAGTTGCATTTTAATAATCTTCCTATTTTCATTTTCTCCCTTCTCCAATCTACCTGGAACCAGTGGAGACCTGATTACCTTTGAATACAATTGTATCGTACTGTTGGTCAAAAACAGCTCTTTATAATATACATGTAATACTAAACTATTCTGCCTGTCTTTAAAAATCTTGTACCCTCTGGGCCTGTAAAAATTTAGCTAACTTTGGAGTGCCTGGGTGGCTCAGTTGGTTGATCAGGTCATGCTCTCAGGGTCATGAGATTGAGCCCCACATCAGGCTCTGTGCTCAGCATGGAGTCTGCTGGAGATTCTCTCTCTCCCTCTCCCTCTGCCCCTCCCTCCCTAAAATAAATAAGCAAATCTTAAAAAAAATTAGTTAACTTTATTTCTAAGTACTTCCTCCACAGATTGATTTCCTTACTGCTCTCTATTCTCTTTCTATAGCCCTCCTCCACCATCCCAAAAAGGAAAGGGTGTTGATTCTTGTCTTTATTCATGTCATCTCCTCTCCTGAATATAAGGGTCAGTTTGACATAGTATAAAGAACAGTGTTAGAAAACCTAAGCTCAAGTCTTTGACCCATATTTAGCTTTGGTTAAGTCAATCTTTCTGAGTTAGCTTCAGCTTCCTCATAATACACAAAAGGGTCAACAGTTATCTATCCTACTCATTTCAGAAGCTTTAGATGTGTATATTTTTGAGAACTGACAAAATGAGGATATCAAGTAATCTGAGACGTCCTCCGGTAAAAAAAAAACCTGTATAATGTGGCTTGGTCTAGTATTTTCCAAACTTATTTGAACACAGAGTATTTTTTCATGGTATCATGTAATTATCCCTCAGAATAGTGGTCCAAGCAATTGGAAATAGAGTAGATCTATAAATGACTCAGGTGGAAAGGGAGCGATAACTCCTCCTAAAATCCTAAGATTTTTTAAAAGTGAAGAAACCCTATGAGTGCTATTAGACTCCATTGTGAGAGCCAACACAAGAATAATGGGTACACCAAAAGGAGAAGAGAAGAAGGAAGTAGAGAGGTTAAAGAAATAATAGCTGTGAACTTCCCAAACCTGGGGAAAGAACTAGTCATACAAGTCCATGAAGCTAATAGATCATTTTACTATATCAATGCAAAAAGACTCTCTCCAAGACACATTATCATGAAGCTGTCAAAAGCCAATGATAAAGAAAGAATCTTAAAGGCGGCCAGGGAAAAAAAAAGAAAGTAACCTACAAAGGAACCTCCACTACACTATGAGCAGATTTCTCAGCAGAAATTCTACAGGCTGGGAGAGAACAGAATGATGGATTTAAAGTATTGAAAGATTAAAAATTGCCAGCCAGGAATACTCTATCTAGCAAAGCTATCCTTCAGATATAAAGGAGAAATAAAGACTCCCAGACAAACAAAAGTTAAGGGGGTTCATCACCAGTAGACCTCCCTTACAACAAATGTTGAAAAGAGCTTGTCTACCTGAAATGAAAAGATAAAAATACACAAAACTTTGAGTAAGGTGATAAACAGAACCACAAAATTGTAACTCTATTTTAGAATACGATGTTAAACAATTATAGCACAAAGATTAAAGGAAAAAAGCATTACAAATAGCTATAGCTACATATTTTGGTAACAAACTCACAGCATATAAAGGGATAAAATGTGGCAACATAAATATAAAAGGGGAGGAGGAAAATAAAAGAACTTATATAGGCAAATGAAGATAAGTTACTATCAGCAGAAAAAGGACTATTTTATCTATGAGACATTTTATACAAACCTCACAATAACCACCAAACAAAAATCTAGAGCAAAGACACACACACACAAGAGGGAGAAATTGACCAAATCATCATAGAAAGCCACCAACCTAAGAAGGTAAAGAGAAACACAAAGAAAGAGAAAGAGAGATACAAAACAACCAGAAAATAAAAAATAAAGTGGCAGTAGTAAGTCTTCATATTATCAATGATCATCCTAAATGTAAATGGATTGAACTCACCCATCAAAAGGCACAGAGTTGCTGGCTGGATTAAAACACAAGACCCAAACTATATGCTTCATAAGACTCATCTCAACTCCAAAAACAAACATCAACTCAAACTGAAGAGGTGGAAGATGATACGCCAAGCAAGTAGTAACCAAAAGAAGTGGATGTACCCATTCTTATATCAAACAAAATAGACTTCAAGCCAAAAATCGTAATGAGAGACAAAGACCATCATGTAATGATAAAGGAGTCAATAGATCAAGAAGATATAACAATCATAAGTATATATGCTCCCAATATCTGAGCACTGAAATGTTTTAAGCAAATACTGACAGATCTTAAGAGAGAAATAGACAGGAATAATAGAGGACTTTAATACCCCACTATCAGCAATGAATAGATCATCCAGACAGAAAATCAACAAGAAACAGAATTGAATCACACTTTAGAACAAATGAACTTAACAGACATATATAGAACATTCTTTCCAACAGCAGAATATACATTCTTCTCAAGTGCACATGCCACATTCTCCAGGATAAATCACATTCGAGGTCACAAAACTAATCTTAGGAAAGTTAAGAAGATCAAAATCACACCATGAGGTGTGGAGAGTAATTCTACATAAAAGAACCCAGAAATGAATAAATTCTTGACTTTTATCAGGCCGACTCTTTTGGGCCACAATTTCTGTCACTACACACCAACAAACAGAAACCTACAATACTATAAACCTTGACATCTCTCTCAAAAATAATTAGTAAGGACAAACGGAAAACTTACCAGGTTCTTGAAGTTTAAGAGCTTGTAAGTCAAGACTTTCATTTTCCTTGAAGAATATCTGAAACTTTTCAAATGTAGCTGCATATAATTGGGCAGATTCAAATGCTGCCTGTATGGTTTCCTAAATGTTATAAATAAACAGACAAGTAAAATTATATTTTTTCTGAGCAGAATTCAATTCAATATAATTAAACAAACAAACACAAATGCCTTCTCTGTGTCCAACACTATGCTTTGACCAAGGGATACACAAGTGAGGGAAGATACCATCCTTGATGTCAAAGGGCAGTTAATGGATTCTCTTACAAAATTAAAAAAAAAAATCTTCAAATCTGACTTTTGAAGAACTGTTCCTTATAATTAAAAGGAAGCATACTAATAATTTTTTAAATCTTAATTCCTCAATCCTTGTCTTTCATGACCTTTACATTTTTGAAGAGTATCTCATTTGTGTGTGTGTGTGTGTGTATATGTTTTATAACTTCCAACACTTAGATTCAGTTGTACATTTTTGGTACTAATACCACAGAAATGATGTATGTTCTCAGTGCACCATGATGGAAAGCACATAATGTCAATTTGTCCCATTACCCATGATGTTAACATGTTGGTTAATCTGGTGTCTGTCAGGCTTCATCACTTACTACTTTCCCCCTGAAATCAATAAATAGCTTATGTAGAAATACTTTGAGACAAAAATCCTGTTTCTCATTATACTTTTGCATTCTCATTTTAGTATGCATTGGAGATTCTTAACTCCAATTTCTTCCAACTTCCTATTTCTATGATAGCCATTGGGGTGATTTGTCTTTACATTTTCCTTCTACATTTATTAGTTGACATTCTGCTGTAAGGAAAAGCTTTTCCTTTTCATTCAATTCATTCCTTCATTCACAATATGGACTAATATGCTTTCATTTTATTCAAGAGTTTATGATACTTTTATAATCAGTATTTATTTTTATGGTCAATTTGTCCAATTTGTCTCAGGGAAATGCTTCTATGGCCTCGATACCTGAAAGACTATCTTGAATAGATAAAAATTTTTGACTCACACTTTCTTCCCTAGAGTTTCATTAAGAAATGCTATTTCATTATTGTCTTGCTTTACACATTGTTTTTGAGAAGTCTGATGCTGGTCTAATTCTCTTACTTCATAAGTTATTTGATCTTTGTGCTCTGAGACCTGGAGGAATTTTTCTTTAGCTTTAAAAGCTAATAGTTTTAAGAGGCTGTAGGTCAGAATTGATTGTTCTGGGTCAATTTTCCAAGGTACTCTGTAGGCCCTTTCAATATATAGAGTTAGGATTTCTTTTCTTGGACTAGTTATAAATGTTCTATCCTATGTTTTGTTTTTTCTCCTTCAGAGATGCCAATTAAATGTATGTTATTTCTTCTTTGACCATCTCCTATTCCAATTATTTTCTCTCTGACCCTTTTACTTGTCCATCTCTAGCTTATTTTCATTCTCTTGGTTGTTTTTCTGTCTTTCTTCTATTCTCATTTTTCCTATCATTCTCCTATAGTAATTATTAAATTTCCATTTGAGTTTATTCTCCCTTGGTCACAATGTAATTTCATCTTCATTTCAGAGATGAATGTTAATTTCCCATTTCTATTTTTAATTTTGAATTTTGATTCAATGTGATTTTACACATATTCAAATGCTTGTTTGAGGATATTTACTCTAGTTTGTAGTGTACCTTTTGTTTCAAGGTTTTTTGGGAGGGAAAGGAAGGAATATTCATGAGGTCTTTTAATCTTCACTTTCTGTTTTCTCCTTATAGTAGTTTTGCATGAATTTAATATATCTTCATTTCCTCAGCTTATGGATCTGAAGTGATTTATGAGATTTATAATACAAGGGTAGTCTGTTCCATCAGTGTAGCAATGAGCAGATTATTTAATTTTTTGGCTGTGGGGAAAAAGTTGTGTGTACTTTGGTTTTTTGGTTCTCTTTAGTCTTGTAGGACCTTAAGTTTTCACCAGTTGCTTCATTTCCCCTACACCACCCCAAGTTTAAATAATGGCTCTTCTTTCTTCTTAATCTTATCTTCTCCCCTGGGAGTGAGGGAATGATGCCATCTCAGATAACTTGCACTTCTAAATCCTTTTCTGTAGTCAGTGTTCTGATCTACTAGGACTTTAAAAAAGAAATCACTTTACCATTTAGAAATTAAGTAGCATTCAGTTTAAAGATAAGAAAGGATGAAACTTTATTACTCAATTGAGAATATTAAAGATTGAGAATATTATAAAATAGTAAAAGTAAATGTACCTTTATTTGAAGGATAATTGTGTGAAAATTCTTATCATCATCAAATACTGCTGATAGGCTTGGTCCAGATCCACAGGTTTTTTCTTCAAGTTTGTTGTTAATGTAAGGTCTGGTAAAAGCATCGAAATATGTATCAGGTACAAGGTTAGGAACTGATAGCACAGTGTTTTGAAAGTGATTAATTGCGCCAGAAATACCATCCTGTTAGAAAAACATAAACATAAATGTAAACATATATGATTATATTTATGAATAAGCTTGAATTTTTTGAAATGCTAAAATAAATAATTCATTCAACCATAACAAATACTGTGTTGATTCTGAGTTCATACAAATCATGTGAAGAACATGAGTTTTCTGGCCGAGAAGGGACATTCAAGAGCCCACTGCCTCTGCATGGAAGCTTCTGAGTAAGTCCCCAACCAGAGGGAACTCAGCAGTCCACTTGTCCTTATAAATATCCTAAAATAACCTATCTGATAAATTACAGAATCAGAGACTACTGATTTGGAAGGAACTTTAACACTCATCTGCCTTCTCATCTTACAGATGCATAAATTGAACCTTAGAGTGGTAAGTGGTTTCCCCAAGGTCAAATAACCCATTAACTGTAAGGGCAAGACTAGAATCTAGAGATCCTGATTACTAGTGCTTTTGTGCTACAATATACCAGGAAATATAGACTCTGATTGGTTTACTAATCTATACATGTACACAAATGAAGAGGACAGAATTCTAAGATGGCCCCCAAGATTCCCTCCTTCTGGTGTATATGCCTTGTACAATCCCTTCCTCTTGAATATGGAGGGAGGGAGGGCCTGTGAATATGATGGGATGCCACTCCCATGATTAGGTTACATTATATAGAAAGTTAAAGGAATTTTGCAGATATAATTAAGGTCCCAAATCAGTTGACTCTGAGTTAATCAAAAAGGTATACCCTCGGTATGCCTGACTGAATCAAGTGAAAACCCTTAAAAGAGGGATTGTGCCCTTCCCAAAGGAGATTTTCTAACTGGTCTTCAAGAAGCAAATATCCATACTGTAAACTGATTATAGAGTTGGCCACATGGCAAGGAACTACAGGTGGTTTCTAGGATCTAAGGGTGGTCCCCTGCCGACATCCCTCAAGAAAACAGGAACTTCAGTCCCATACTTATACCTATACAACAACTTGAGGGAACTTAGAAGTGGATCATTTTCTAGTCAAGCCTCTAAGGAGACCTCATCACAGCCAATACCTGAACAACTGCCTGGGGAAGCTTTGAAACAGAGGATAAGCTAAGCAGTGCCCAGACTTCTGACCCACAGAAACTGTGAGATAGCACATGGTTGTTGTTTTAAGCTGCCACATTTGTGGTAATTTGTTACACAGCAATAGATAATTAAAATATTTTCACAGATGCAGCATACCTAAAAAGATTTCAAAAATTGTACTTACTATAGTCAATTCTAAATTTTGTATAGCATATGTTCTCTAGATGGTGTACCCTACAAGCTCCCAATCTGTCTCAAGTTAAATAAAAGGTGCTAAACTTTTAGACAGCTTTTATGTAGATGTAATGCTGTGCACAGAACAGTACTTTCTCTTTTCCTTCTGATCATTTTGAAGGAGGGACAACAGCAAACCCGCCAATCACTTGACAGTAAAACAGTTGCTTCATTTCCCAAAAAGGTACTTATAGGTGGATGCTATAAGAAGGAACACACACCAGAAAGTCTTCCAAAGAAGGTTCAAATAGTAATGATTGGACTGTCAAAATCAGTTCTGTGAGAAACATGGGGATGAGAGACTCATCTTCTTCCTGCTTTTCCACCACAGAGGTCCCCTGAAATGAACACATTTGCAGTGTGATAAAGATGTAAGAACCAAGGTATAAGATAAAAGATGCCTGTATTACAAGAAGCATGTAAACTGAAGCATATACAATTAGTTGATTTCATAATGTTGGCTTGTCTTTCAACAAATATTACCACAGAAATTAAAAAATAAAGGCAAACATTAAAAGACTACACAATAGTGTAAAACTTCTCTCCTTATGAAAACGCTATCAACAAAATGGAAAGGCAAACAACAAGCTGGAAAAATATATCAGTAGTGTATATAGAATATAGGAGATTGATAATATTTAAATAGAAATATATTTGATATACTCAATAGAAATGTATACTAATATAACAATTGATATATAAATAGATATATACTAAAATACGAATGTACTTAAATGGAAAAATGGGCAAAGCTCATAATCTGACATTTCCTAAAAGGATGATACAAGTGATCAATCTCCTTCTTGTTCTTATACTCAAGATAGTTTACTCAGTAACAACATTTATTATTTACTGTGTGCCAGGCAGTGCTAAGTATTCATGTACCCACATCAACCATATGAAGCAGATATCATTATTACCCCCATGAGAAAAATAGGATCTGGAGAAGGTAAGACATTTCATTCAGGATCCACTGGTTATTAAATGCCAGGCCAGCACTCAAATCCAGGTCTTTCTGACCACCAACCTATGCTCTTATCCCTGCACTGGGGTGACAATTAAAGGAATATAACAGTTAAAAGCAGTGATGTACTACTTTACAACCATCAGACTGACCACAATGAAAATGAATGATAATATCTAGTGTGCATGTGGTTCATTCTCAAACATTGCTAGAAAGGTTGTAAATTGACACAAAACTTTTTGGGAAGTTAATGCATCAGTATCAAAAGCACATTTCTGACCCAAAAATTCCATATCTAGGAATTTCTTCTAAGAGGAAAAAATCATAGATGTGTGAAAAATGTATGGACAAGGATGATCTTTGCTTATTTGGAATAATAAGAAACAAAGATGTCTTTGCTTATTTGCAGTATGAGAAAGTGATCAACGATAGAAAATTATTTAGCAGATGTATAGCTGTTATATTTCTATGTGAGAATATTATATGGAAAAATACATATTGCCTTTGGAGATTTTTCACAATACATTGCTAAGTGGAAAAAGAATGTGTTAAAGCAGTAAGTATGGTATCTTCTTTCACTTGGGAATAGTTATCTTTGGATAGCAGAGGGTCCTTTTCTTTGTATATTTCTGTGTTCTTCCAATTTTCTTCACTTAACATATATTACTTTTATAATTAGAAAATAAATGTTACTTTCAAAATATAATAGTACTCAGAAAAAGGAGGAATTGAGACTAGGGGAGGAGAGAAAGTAATCAAAAGGAGTATGCAACTAAAATTCAACTTTTGGAGAAAAGGGAAACTATGGCAAAGAGCATGCAGCCTTGAAACTTCATAGCTGGGTTTCCTGGGGAGGCAGTTGAAAGGTGCAGGTAGGAAGCTCGATGAAACCAGGTATGCATGTTTTGCTATGTTTTTAGGTGTCTGGCATGAAGTATTAGATAGAATGGAGCTAGGGGAAGCTTACTCGGAAACGTGGATATGAAATGATATGATTTCTCTCTTAGCTATGCTAGAATGCAAAGATTTGTAGTACTTCATCTCAAATGTCTCAAATTGCTCTGTGTCTCTAAGATCAACATCCTCCCAAGACGTTATCCACTCAAAGCACAAAGGTTTGCTTCCATGATTTGCTTCTTCTCACCCCTAAACCATTGTTTATCTTTCATTTATACCACCTTCCCTGCTTTTCTCTGCCAGTTCATGCCCACGATGACCCCCAAACCATAAGCTTCTTGGGGGCAGGAATCCTGTCTATGCTTTTCATCACTATAAATCCAACAACCAGCACAGGGGTTGGTACATAGTAGGTACTTAAGAAATATTTGTCCAGTGTACACATGAATAGCCTTTAGCAAATTCCTATGAGACAGACAGCAACATCTAGCACTAGCTTGCCTGTATTATTAGGTATTTGGTGATATGGTGATTTTCATTCTGCCATTTCAAGTGCATATGGTAAGCTCTGATTGTCCTGTGAAATCTAAGCATTTCTGCTACTTTTCAAGTACATAGAAAACAGTATAATTCATAGGACATAGTAAGCACGCCTCAATAAATGCTGACCTACGAATTTTCTTAATTTTTGTCTGAATATACCTTTTTCTCAGTGACTTCAGGCTTCTCTTCAGTAATCCATTTCTGAATGACATCTGCTGAAGGTGTTCGTTTTAGCTTGTCAGTAAGATAATTCAAAAGAGAGTTAACAGAATTTACTGTTAGGATGTGCATTGTGTTCTCAATTAGATAGTCATTTAGACGGATAAAGCTTGAAAAGAAAAAAAATACAGCTTCAGTTTTCTATATTCACTACTATGAAAGTGACACTAAACCAAATATTTTTGAAAGTGACACTAAACCAAATATTCAAAATTTAAAATATCATAATTTCTCTTTGAATTTCCATTTATGTTATAATAACAGAAACTTACTGTCCAAAAGAGTTATTCTTGGACATTCTTCATTTTAAAACACAAATATATTCAAATATATAGCATCAATTTAGCTGGGTGTTCTAACTATCCAAAAGTATATTTAATGAGCAATATAGCTGGTATGGAAAATGCACCTAGATCATCTAGCCAAAAGGGCCATAAGATTCTTTATGACCTCACTGATATGAGGAATTCTTAATCTCATGAAACAAACTGAGGGTTGCTGGAGTGGGGGGCTGGTGGGAGGGATGGGGTGGCTGGGTGATAGACATTGGGGAGGGTATGTGCTATGGTGAGTGCTGTGAATTGTGCAAGACTGTTGAATCACAGATCTGTACCTCTGAAACAAATAATGCAATATATGTGAAAGAAGAAGAAGAAGATAGCAGGAGGGGAAGAATGAAGGGAGGGAGATCGGAGGAGGAGACGAACCATGAGAGACGATGGACTCTGAAAAACAAACAGGGTTCTAGAGGGGAGGGGGGTGGGAGGATGGGTTAGCCTGGTGGTGGGTATTGAGGAGGGCACATTCTGCATGGAGCACTGGGTGTTAGGCACAAACAATGAATCATGGAACACTTCATCTAAAATTAATGATGTAATGTATGGGGATTAACATAAGAATAAAAAAAAAAAGAGGGCATGTTCTGCATGGAGCACTGGGTGTTATGCACAAACAATGAATCATGGAACACTACATCAAAAACTAATGATGTAATGTATGGTGATTAACATAACAATAAAAAATTTTTAAAAAAAGATGCTTTAAAGAAGAAATCAGAAAATATACAACAGCTGTAACTCACATTCTAATGGTAAAGGTGTGAAATCTTTGCTCTTGCATAAATGTTGTTTGATAGCAACTGCTAACCCAGAGATGCAGATTTTATGTTTCCTTACTTGGGTATTTAGAATAAATGTTTATTTATTCTGAATAAAGGCCAAGGGGCCTCTGTGACCTGTACTCTGACGGTGGCCTCAGGGATTGCTCCATTGACCTCTGTTGTGACACAGCCATTTTTATCATATTATTTCATATATAAACCAGTATGCAGTTAAGATTTATTAAATATACAGCTGTCAAAGTTGGACTAAGTTAGTGGGCACTGAGGAACAATAACAGTGTTCTATCGCGCCACACAAAATTTTTCAGATAATGTCTGGTGATTTCGTTTGCAAGTTATTTGTAATGATGAGGTTTTAGAATGGTGGGAAATCCAAACTCTAGAACAATGTCAAGACCCAGGTGAGGCTCTGGAAGGAAGGCTTTCCACCCTGGTCTCCCACGTGCCAAACCCGCCTTAGGGAGAGGGTGGAGTTTTGTGTGGCAATGCTTGGCTATCTGTCATTCTTTTTAGATTTTTTTTTTTTTTATTTGACAGAGAGAGAGACAGCGAGAGAGGGAACACAAGCAGGGGGAGTGGGAGAGGGAGAAGCAGGGCTCCCTCCAAGCAGGGAGCCCGATGCGGGGCTCGATCCCAGGACCCTGGGATCATGACCTGAGCCGAAGGCAGACGCTTAACGACTGAGCCACCCAGGTGCCCCTCTGTCATTCTTTAGTGACCACACCGAGGTAGTGGGCTCTCCAGGTTCACTGGAGGAGGCCCACAACTCTCTCTGTACCTGACTTCTCCTCACCACAGCCTGCTCCATGCTTGCTCCAAGCTGGGCTAGAGGGAAACAAAGCTTTAGAGACCAAACGGGAGCACTCGGCCTTGGGCATGCCTTCCACTCTCCACCAGCCTGACTCCCAGTGGCTGCTCTGTTGGGTGGCAGTTGGATGCGTGAGCTTCTGGGCCTGCATTCAGGTTACCATATTCCCCAAATCTCTCATCATTATTAGTGAACCCTTTGATGAAGGCTTTAATTTTTAATGAAACTTGAGAAGCCTGGATGCTCTAATTTTTCTTGAAAAAGAGAATAATCATTTACCACGTTAGCCTCAGGCAGTGATGCCTTTTGCTGGCCTGCTCTGTGTATGTCATTTTGTCAGAGTCTGCGTAAGCAGGCAACTCAATGAGACCTCCGATGTCTTGCATTTTATAATAATCTAAGAACAATAGAAGACACAATGTCAAGAATTCTTGGGTAAAAATTCCATTTCTTTCAATATGGATTAAAAGAAGAGTAAAATTCTTTTTTATGGCTGAACAGTATTCCATTGTATATACGCATACTACATCTTCTTTATTAATTTATCTATCGATGGACACTTGGGCTGCTTCCATAATTTGGCTATTGTAAATAATGCTGCTATAAACATAGGGGTGCATGTATCTCTTTGAATTAGTGTTTTCGCATTCTTTGGGTAAATATCCAGTAGTTCAATTACTGGATGATAGGATATTTCTAGTTTTAATTTTTTGAGGTGCCTCCATACTGTTTGTCACAGCGGCTGCACCAGTTTGCATTCCCACCAACAGTGCGCAAGGGTTCCTTTTTCTCCACATCCTTGCCTACACTTGTATCTTGAGTTTTTTATTCTAACCATTCTGGCAGGTATGAGGTAATAATCTCATTGTGGTTTTGATTTGCATTTCCCTGATGATGCTAAATGAAATAAATCAGAGAAATACAAATATCATTTCACTCACATGTGGAATCTAAGAAACAAAACAAATGAACAAAGGGGGAAAAAGACCAAAAAACATTAACTATAGAAAACAAACAGATGGTTACCAGGAGAGATGAGTGGAGGAATGGGGGAAATAGGTGAAGGGGATTAAGAGTACACTTATCATAATAAGCACTGAGTAATGCATAGAATTGTTGAATCGCTATATTGTACACCTGAAACTAATGTAACACTGTATGTTAACTACATTGGCATTAAAATGGAAAAAAAGGTAAGTAAAATTAAAAACCAACCAAATGTAACCAAGCATTTTATCAAGCAATTTATCATTAACCAAATGAGATATTTCAAACTCTAGAAAACAGCCCAGTTATCCAAAAGAATTCCACATCAAAGGATTTCAACTCAACAAAAGACTGCAGACAGTTCATTAATATTCCCCTTACTCAGATTTGATCTCTATACCATGCTACCTCTTTCCCAGGAACACCTCTACCCTCCTTTTCCACCTGAATTTTAGTTATTCTTTTACAGTTCTTGTCACCTGGGGCCAACCTGAGATCCACCCAGTTGCTTAATTTTAACAAACCTATTGTCCGTACTGGTAGGTTGGACATACCTTTAAGCAAAGAGGCCCTGATTCCTCTATAAAATGCTTATGAAATAAAGGTTCTGTAACCAGTTTAAAATATTATATATAAGCAGTGGTGATGCAAGGAAGATGCAGTATTTACTGTGTTTTCCCCCCTCTACAATATATACTGAATTTATAACATATCAAGTAGACACTTAGAAAAACTGAAAAAATATTTAAACTTAAGAAAAGTAGGAAAAGAGTTAATTTTTTAGAAAGCCATGACTTCTGATCTATTGAAGTATTTTCCCCTTCATACCCTCAACAGGTTTATGTAGACAGTCATCAGGAATAAATCCTGCGGCACGAAGAGCAATTCGACAAGCCTTCCTGACCACATTTTTTGCCTCATTTCGAAATTCTTCTAGGCGCTCTGTCACCTAGACATTGATGAATATGTATAATTAGTAATAGCAAAGTAGCAACAATGAAAAAAAATCTTGAAACTATAGACAAAATTCCTTACCTCTTCTAACCGTATGACTTGTGCAACTTTAAATTCTTGCAGGGTGTAGGTATGACATTTTTCAATATGACAAAGTCCCATAAAACTCAAGTGATAGCATAGTTCATTTATTTTAAGAAGAGCTGGTCGCAAATACTGCATGAAAATAAAAATCTGTCATTAAAGAAAGCCCTGTCTTTTGAAAGAATAAAAATATTTGGAAAGCAAGAATGGTTATTAAGGAAAATAAATAGCTCTATGTGTTAACTGTAGCTATAACTCCAAAGTGCATACATTAAACAGGAACACATCTGAAACTTTTTCTAAAAGCATTCTTTGTCTTTCTTTTGTTTGTTTTTATTTAAATTCAAGTAGCCAACATACAGTACATCATTAGTTTCAGATGTAGAGTTCAATAATTCCTCACTTGCATACAACACCCAGTGCTCATCACATCATGTGCCCTTTTTAATGCCCATCACCCAGTTACCCCATCCTCCCCTCCCGTTCAGCAACACTTAGTTTGTTTCCTATAGTTAAGAGTCTCTCATGGTTTGTCTCCCTCTCTGATTACTTCCCATTCAGTTTTCCCTCCCTTCCCCTATGATCCTCTGTTTCTTACATTTCACATGAGTGAAACTATATGATAATTGTCTTTCTCTGATGGACTTATTTTGCTCAGCATAATACCCTCCAATTCTATCCATGTTGATGTAAATGGTAAGTATTCATCCTTTCTGATGGCTAAGTAATATTCCATTATGTGTTTGTGTGTGTATATATATATATAAATATATATACTTCTTTATTCATAAAAGTATCTATCTATATATATCTATAGATATAGATCTTCTTTATCCATAAAAGCATTCTTTGAATTATCAGATTTAATTTGTTTGAATTCCTTTCTTTTCATTTTGAGTATGTGTCTTTTAGCTATGAAATTGCAGGCATGTAATGGAGGACTGGGCAATGTCTTAAATTTCACTATGTTTGATGAATGGCTAAGAGACTCATCGTGTTATCTTAAGGACTTTACAATGTCCAGTCACCCTGGTAATGAGGGGCCCATCTACTGACCTAAGAGGCTATGACATAGGACAAAACCACTTTGAATTTAAAAATTTTTAAAGTTAAATTTTTTAACTTTAAATTTTCAGAGGTGACAAGTTGCTGAAAAAGAAAATTCAGTCACCATTAAGAACATATTTATGGGGCACCTGAGTGGCTCAGTTGGTTAAGCACCTGACTCTTGATTTCGGCTCAGGTCATGATCTCAGGGTCCTGGGATTGGGCCCTGAGTTAGACTCTGCACTCATTGGGGTGTCTGCTTGAAATTCTCTCCCTTTGCCCAGCCCCACTCGCTCTCTCTCAAATGAATAAATAAATCTTAAAAAAAAAGAACTTATTTATTTGTGGGCTGGAATAATGAGTGGAAGTGTTTGTAAAATTATGTTACATAATATTAACTTAATCTTTCTCTATGCCACAATCATGGGTCAGAGTTCTAGGCTGTTGGCTTCTAAGACACATGTTCTAACAATGTTCCACTATCATTCACCCTCACTTGTAATCTAATCAAACGAGTAGCAGTCATATTAAAAAAGTTAACGATTTATTTGTATGTGATTCTGATTTATATGTTATATACACCAAGCTATTGGACTCTTTTCTATGTGATTCCAAAACAGGACAGACAACAGTTATTCAGACCAACATGAAACAGTGCTTTATTTATTCGAAGTATAAATAAAGGGAAGTTATAATTAGTAGAGTTCTAAATGAAGGGTTTCGTGAAAAAACATCTAGGAAGTCAGATAGCCCTTAAGGTTTAGCTCATGGAATAATTTGCATGATAAAAGAAGAAGCAAAAGTTTAGAAACTAAGTCTATGAATTGAAATAAGTAAGATACTACATAAATTAACATGAGTATAGGAATAGAGAGGAGAATGCGATCAAAATGGGACAGGGAAAGCAAGGAAGTCCAGGGTACTCTGGAGAAAGCCCTTGAACCAAAAATATAAGTTCTATTCAGTACAGGGACAAAGTGCAAGGATCAAGGTGGAAAGCAAAACTGATATTGATAGTCTGCCAAAATGTGAGAGGAGTTTGACAGTGGAAATTTTTTGGAAGAAAAAATATGTAATCTAAGAAATTACTTTGGCTTAACTTAAATATCATCTGGCTGTCCGCATACAGGACTGTTGTGAGAGCAGCTATGAGCACAAGAGAGACTGCGGGTGTTTTAGTAAATTTCAGACAGAATCTCGGGTTCATTCTCAGGCTGCTAAATCCATAGTACTTGTTGAAGGTGATAAGGATTACATATTATTTTAAGTTGTTAGCAGGACTGTAACAGGAAGAAGAACTTGTCACTTTGAGGGTGGGTTTCGATATGTAGACTGAGAAGCTATCATTTTTGTCTGCCCTGGACAGACCTACCTCAGACCTACCTCCAATTCTTCTGGGGTTAGAATCCCTCTTTCTTTTGGGAACCCCATTACCATGTAGTTTTGATAAGGCTGACCCCTCCCTTTCCCCATCACAGGAATGAGGAATAGGCACAAACCCAGGCCTGGCTTATCAGAGTACACCTGGCTGTGCAAGGATTGGCTCAGGCCTGAACACGTGACCAAGCTGAGTCGATCAGTGTTCTCTCCAGCATCTCCCGCAAGAGGTGCTCTTCTCACTCCAAGAGCCAGCTGTAACTACGTCGGGCAGGTGGTGCTCATGGAAGAGCCCAAGCGAGAATGAAACAGGGAAATACAGAGCTGGAAGATGAAGAGAAAGAGGAAAAAATAAAGATGATATTATTTGAGCTTCTGAATTCAGCCAGGCATAAAGGTATGTTCATCCCTTGAACTTCCTTATTATATGAGCTTTTGTTTGTTGTTGCTGAAGCTCATCGAAATTGAGTTTCTGCCAGTTGCATTGAAATGAGTGTTAATACTTTCAGAGGTAGAAAATCATTGTTATTAATCTGGGGGTTGGTCACTGGGTCAGAAAGCCCTAGGGAAACTCAGAGACTAGAGCCTTTGGAAGATAAGTGTGGAAGAGCTGTAAGAAAAATCAGGGCCATGCTGAGGCACAGCATCTTTGGTTGGAATGCAGGAATCCTTTGGATTTACTAATCTTGCCTTCACCACACCACCACAACTTTAATTTACCCTAACCCTAGTCAACAGAACATTTGGGTGAGCTGAGCAATTTGACACTTAGAGAGCCCACTGGAGCTATATTGGTCATGCCCCGGCCAGAGGATCTGGGCTCGAGTTCTCATGCACATTTCTGACCCAGAATAGAAAGGGCTACAGTAAAAGGTACATCCCTTCATAAGCAGAGGAATGGTTATATAGATCTATGAAATTAAGAGTAGTTTGCAAAGCAATGGCTCACTAAAAATAAAAAATGGAAAGATTTTAATTACAAAGTAACATTCAAATTAAAATAAATGACAGTGTTTGAGAATGTGAAAACTAAAAAAAAAAAAATTGCCTGAAAGTATCATATGCAACAAAATTACACATTATTAGAAACCAGCAGGTTAAAACCATGTGCAGCACTAGATAATATTGAAAAATTAATATTAAACACACACTTAAGTTTAAAGAAAAGTGAAACTTGGAAATGTAGGAGACTAGAAGACACTTGAATTCTACAAAACAGTAAAGAAAATGGCCCTTCATAAACTCTTTCAGATCTTCATAAACTCCTTCAGAAGACAGAAGGAATATTTTCCAACTCATTCTATAAAACCAAACACATCACAAGAAAAAAAAAACTATAGACCAGTCTTCCTTATGAATATCCATGCAAATATCACTAACAGAATACTAGCAAACCAAATCAAACAATAAAGGGATTTATATACCATGACCAAATATGATTTATCCGAGGGATACAAAGTTGGTTTAATATCGAAAGATCAATTATTATAACAAATCATATTGTTATAATAAAGGGCAAAAACTGCATGATAATCTCAATAGATGCAGGAAAAGCATTTGATAGACTCATCACGGCTTCACGACAGAAACAGTCAACAAACTAGGAACAGGAAGAAACTTCCTTATAGCATCATGCTTAATGGTAAAAGACTGAAAGCTTTCCTTCTAAGATCAGGAACAAGACAAGGATTTCTGCTTTTTGCCACTTCTATTCAGAAGGTTCTAGCCAGGGAACATAGGCAAGAAAATTAAAGTCATCCAGATTGGAAAGGAGTTGTAAAATGATATCTATTTGCAGATGACTTATTCTTGTTCATAGAGTATACAAGAAATACACACACACAAACACACACCATACTAATAGAATCAGTAATAAATTCTGCAAGGTTTCAGAAAACAGGCTCCATATACAAAAATTAATTGTATTACTATATAGAATACACACATATTTATAAATATACTATTTATATATTCTACATACCTATGAGATATATATATATGTATATATATATATAATTTTCTGCCTCTTTGCAGAAAATGACAAGATTATCTTAAAATTCATGTGGAAATTCAAGGGGCCCAGAAGACATACACTCCCAATTTTAAACTTAAAATGCAGATCATCAAAATTAAGAATTTTGTGCTTCAAAGGATACCATCAAGAAAGTGAAAAGACAACCCACCAAATGGGAGAAAATTTTTGTAAATCATATAACTGATAAGGGACTTGTATCCAGAATATATAAATAACTCCTACAATTCAATAGTAAAATGAAAAAACTCAATTAAGAAATGGGTAAAGTATCTGAATATACAGTTCTCCAGATAAGGGAGTATCCAAGAAATACACACACACAGAGTATCCAAGAAATACACACACACACACACACACCCCATACTAATAGAATCAGTAATAAATTCTGCAAGGTTTCAGAAAACAGGCTCCATTTACAAATAGTCAATAGGCACATGAAAAGATGCCCAACATCATTAGCCATTAGGGAAAGATAAATCAAAACCACAATGAGATACCACTTCACAAGCAGTAGGAATGACTATAATGAAAAAGATATAATGGTGAAAACAGAGACAAACCAAAGCCCTCATTTGCTGTTGGTGGGAATTTAAAATTGTGCAGTAGCTTTGGGAAATTGTTTTGCAGGTCCTCAAAAGGTTAAACATAGAGTTACTGGTGACTCAGCAATTCTACTCTTAGGCATATACCCAAGAGAAATGAAAACATACATCCAGACAAAAACTTGTACACAAATGTTCATAGCAGTATTAGCCAAAAAGTGGAAGCAATCCAAATATCCATCAATAATAGATGGGTGGGGGGTGCCTGGGTGGCTCAGTCGTTAAGCGTCTGCCTTCGGCTCAGGTCATGATCCCAGAGTCCTGGGATCGAGTCCCACATCGGGCTCCCTGTTCCGCGGGGGGCCTGCTTCTCCCTCTCCCACTCCCCCTGCTTGTGTTCCCTCTCTCGCTGTGTCTCTCTCTCAAACAAATAAATAAAATCTTTAAAAATAATAATAATAATAATAGATGGGTAGATACATAAAATATGTATATCCATACAATGGCATATTATTTGCCAATAAAAAGAAATGCTATGCTATAACATAGATGAATGTTGAAAACATTATGCTAAGTGAAAAAAGCCAGCCACAAAGAACCACATATTGTACGGTTCCATTTATATGAGATGTACAGAATAGGCTAATAAAGATGAAAAGTAGATTAGTGGTTGCCTAGAGCTGGGGAGGGGATTGGGAGGAGTTGGGGAGAAATGTAGAGTGATCACTAATGGGTAATAGGGTTTCTTTTTGGAGTGATGAAAATGTTCTAAAATTGACTGTGGTGATGGTTAATCAATTCTATGAATATAATAAAACCACTGAATGGTATACTTTTAATGGGTGAATCGTACAGTATATTAATTATATTTCAATAAAGTTGTTGAAAGGAAACGTTGGCACAGGTGCCAATAAGGTTTGTTACTAAAAAAAAAATCATGAAAAGAACTATTTCGAGGATAGCTCCACATTTGTCCCTTCCATCTTGTCTAGGCCAATCAGCCCTCCTAATTAACTAATTGTAAATACAAGAGTAGTGGTAAGTGTGTGGGTAATTATAGCATCAAATAGATATTTAAACCAACACAATGGGCCTGTTATTTAGGTCAATCTAAATTTAAATGGATGAGAACTTTATAGTCTGCTAGGGCTACATTTAAGAGAAGATATTATCAAGGTCAAAGCACTGTTGGTATGAATGGTGGACTGAGAGAAGGACAACCTCAGCACATAAGGATCAATAGAGGTAATCTCAGAGATGAATACAGGAAGAACTATTTAAATAACTAGTAACAAATTTATGACATGTATAGTGCCCAAGACATGGTGAAAGATAAAAGGTAGTAAAAAGGTAGTAAAATAGGTTCAAATGATTGATGGATCCTTAAAGAAATTAGAGGTTTAGAAGTTGAGTTTGATACCAAGGACTAGAATGTTTTCTACAACGCAGAAGGCTTGATGAGATGGATGACCTGAGATAGTACCTCTCATACATTTGTTTTTGCACTAATATCTATGTTAGCCCTATTCCTTTAATGTTCCTTTATTGTGTGACTGACATCTTGATAATCATCTTTCAGATTAACATATGAAAGTGGAACAAATGAGCAGTAAAAAGCAAACTTGAGGCTTCTGATTTGAGAGGGTGGTGACTCCGTGTCAGAAATAGACAGCTAAGGATCATGACAGTAATGGTGATTCCAGTTCATTCCCAGGGGCCAGGTAGAAAACTTGTAATGCAAGTTGAAATTCAGTGAGTGGGTAAAGATTTAAAATATAGCCACACACCGTTTAACAGATCTTTTTCCATGATTACCCCATCCTGCAAAGTAAATATTAAAATTTTCCTTTCTGTCTGAATCCATGGTAGAGGGAAGCATACGCTACATTGGGAGGTACTGGCCCATGAAAACAAGCCCCCAGGTTATTTTGGACCATAGAGTCCAGAGTCACTCAAAGATGAGAGGAGGTAATAGGGTTGCCAGCCCACTCTGCTCAAGAGGATATACCATTTTCCTAATCTACAACAAAGGGGGCCATGAATCCAAACCTCTGAGGCTGCTTCTAACTGAAGGGGACCTGTGCAACTCTCTTCTACTTTTGCATTCTGCAACCCTAGTTAAAATGTGAAAACACTGCTCGACTGCCATGGCAAGACAGAATGACAAGACAGAAAGAAAATTGTGAATTCTCTTAAAAAGATGAAATATTCTATTTCAAGGACAGTCTATACCAATACCTGTAACAGATTCACGTTTTGTTTTTCTGTAATTCTTTTAAAGTATGATTAATAGGGGCGCCTGGGTGGCTCAGTCAGTTAAGCGGCTGCCTTCAGCTCAGGTCATGATCCCAGGGTCCTGGGGTCGAGCCCCGCATCGGGCTCCCTGCTCTGTGGGAAGCCTGCTTCTCCCTCTCCCACTCCGCCTGCTTGTGTTCCCTCTCTCACTGTCTCTCTCTGTCAAATAAATAAATAAAATCTTAAAAAAGAAATATGATTAATAAATACACACATGATTAACAATGAACAGATTTTTTTTTTGTAGAGATTTTCGACATCCACTGATTTTCTTGGAACGGACATTCTTCTTCCACACGTTAAAAGCCTTCCATTTCCGGAAAAGTGCAAATATGGGAATCTTAGTGAGTTCTCTGTGATATAGATATTCCTGTTCCCATCGATCAATTTCGATATATTCAATGTCCTCATTATAAATGTGCATTACTGCTTTTTTGCTAATAGTATAGTAGTCATTTTTATTGATGTTTTCATAACTTACAACTCTATGAACAAATACAAATTGAGTCAAGTGAATAAAAGTATTCAATACAAAATTAAGCAATTGCATTACTTTTGTGTTCTAAAGAGATAAGCATTTCTGAAAAAACAAATATTTAAAATTTTTAAAAAATTCTAACAAATTATTTTTAGATTGAATACTCAGCAATGAAGGGAGAAGATGCTTTTTAAAAAAATTGGACTTGTTTTAGGTCTTAAAGATTTCACAACCTTGGCAATATGCTTGACAATTTCCGTTACATAGTTTTTACAGAAACAAGTCAATCACAGATTTTTAAAACCTAATAGCCCTATATGAAAGCTACCTGAAAATAAGTTTTTATTATTAGCTCTCTAGAAACTATTCAATAATAATAGTGTAAAAGAGTTTTACACTACCCAGTATTGAGAGAATTATGAGAAAGAACAAAGCAAGAAAAGATGAGTTAGGTAAGAATCGAATCAAGACCCAGATTAGGTGGGGGGAAAAATGCCCAATTTATCACAAAACAAAATAATTATTGTTGAGACATTGTTTATTTCAAGATATTCCTCTTTCAACTGTCATCAAGGGCATTCCTCAACCTTCTGTATAACAGAAACAGATCAAATAAGGAAGAAAGCAAGAGAGATAAAGACAGGAGTAAAGATAGGAGAAGGAAACGAAGTAATGAGAATAGAAAGGGCTGATTCTCTACAATTTCTTAAAACAAGAACTTGCCTACAGGCACAAAGATATTTTTTTTCGTAATTTTAGCTATAACATTAAAATACTGGATGCAACTTAAATATTCAATAATACAACTCTGAAACATATTGTGATACAGCAAGTTACTAAAATATATTTTAAAATTTAGGAAAATAAAATTTATAAAGATTCTCTGGTACTTTAGAATAATAAGATGATGGTTAACTGCAAAAACAAAACCCCAAATTGTTTTTATGTTAAAACTATGCGAAAATTATATGTACTAACAAAGATTAGACAGGAACACTCCAGTGAAAATCAACTGTTTCCCTTGTCTATGTTCTCTCCTGATCCTTAGCTCTGCATTTTGAACCTAGAGTTCATGGCCCTTTAATATAGCCTTCAGGTCACCTGTGAAATCCCTGAAATTGTTGTATATATACAAATTTATGTACATATGTATGGTAACTTTTTAAGGAATTGGAACAAGATTCTTATATGTTCCAGGTCTGTTAATCAAAAAACTAAAAACCACTGGAATAAATCACTTTTAGTTTTTAATTTCTATTTTTGTTTAATAAAACTGAGTAAGAAAAGTATTTTTATAATTAGGGCATACAGGACCAGAATGAAAAAAAGCAAAAACCAAGACCCCAAGCCAAGACCTGTTCACATGAACACAGAAGGACGCCCTGGGGTGCTGATGGTGTGTTGGAGAGGAAGAGTCTGGAAGGTTGCTCTGAAGTGCTGTTACAGAAAAACATCAACTTGCTCAGCTTTTACCTAATTCCATTGACTCTTTGTTTGTGTTCTAATTAACATTTCACATCAGAACTGTCTGGGAAAATGCCAGGTATTACATGTTGCAGGTGAGGTAAATGGAAAACATTTTTTTCCTTTTTTCTTTGCCTATAGCTGAAGATATAATTAGGACATTCTTGGGAATCACCCAAGAATCATTAATATCAGTTATCAAACCAACCTAAAGACAAATCAAGCAGCTCACCATGGCCTTGATGCATGTCTAGAAAACTTGCTCTGCATTGGTCTATCTGCTACTAAAGACCCTTCTAGAAGGTGGCAGATGTGGTCCATGATGTTGAATTCTAACTTATCAGTACTCAGTGCCACTTAGAAATCTTTTTTATTTACAGTTTACTATCTAAGATCCTCATTCTCGAGCCCCTAAACCTTTTTCCTCCACTACACATTTCTACTCTGCATAGAACAAAAGAACACACGCTAGTCTTTTTCAAATACTGGATTGCCAGCATCAAAATCATCTGGGGTGCTTATTAAGAATCTAGATTTCTGGGGCACCTGGGTGGCTCAGTCGTTAAGCGTCTGCCTTCGGCTCAGGTCATGATCCCGGGGTCCTGGGATGGAGCCCCACATCGGGCTTCCTGCTCAGCGGGAAGCCTGCTTCTCCCTCTCCCTAACTTGTGTTCCCTCTCTCGCTGTGTCTCTCTCTGTCAATTAAATAAATAAAATCTTAAAAAAAAATCTAGATTTCTGGGTCCAACACAGAATTAGAACCTTTATGTATGAGACTCAAGATTCTAGTTCAACAAGCTCCCTGGATGATTCTGATACACAGTCATGTTTGTGAACCATTGAACTTTATTCAAAAACAAGGTGGTCACAAGGTGAGCTCTCTCTTCACTTGAAAATCATCACGTTTGTGTGCTCCCACCTCAGCCCCCGAGTGTATCTCATGGTTTCCTCTAGAGAAAGAGAGAGGTTTCACCCCATATTTTTCTAACCCTACTGGCTTTGGGCTACTTTTTCTCTGCATCTAAAAATGTGCAGAACTTTTCTTTAACTTGTAGAAAGCTTCCATTTTATAGAATGCTTTTTCTTGACCCTGCAGCCCATTTAACTTAAAATCCCAAGTATTCTTCTTCCTCTTAAACTTCCTATACAATGGTGTGTATTGGTAAGCCATATCCCTCCCATCCATTCCTTCCTAAAGTTTCCAAAAACCGATCTTGTTTCTCATAACTCTAACAAAATTATCCTCTCACAGATGGGCAGGGACTTCCTTCAAGCCCAATTCTGTTGGTAGATATAAGGGGCAGCAGGGTCGGGAAAAGCTTTGCAGAAATTAAGAGGGCCTATGCACAGTTCTCTGTAATCCTATCCTTAGACTTTCCAGTTCATTACTGAGAGGGTTACTCCTCAAATACACTCCGTGGGCCTCTGTGCTTCACTCCACACACTCTGCCTCCGACCACGCATCCATTTCAGGAGGTGATCCACCACACCTCACCTATGCTGAGAACTTCCTAGTCAGCACTGCTTGGCATCCAGGATTCAGCCTTAAACTTCGGCTGCTTCTTGGATAGTTGCTTTGGATTTTTCTCTCATCAAGCCTTTCTTTGAGGAAATAATACAAAAATTTACTTTGAGACTTAAAAAGAGAACTTCATTTGTTCAAGTGCTATACTATAAAATTCCTACTTTGCTGATAAACTAGATGGTTTTATGATCTAATCAACTAAACAGATCTTTAGTTAACTAATCAGGATGAGATGAACATCTTGAATAAGATTACATTTTACTATGTTTTACTGGAAAAAAAATACCTGGAGTGTATTCTTGCTCTTCAATGTAGAACCAGGTCAACTTATTTTACTGTAGAACCTATATCTGTCCATCTAAAATGAAACTGGGACTCCAAGGCTTCTACTAACTTCAAAAGCATGTATGTCTTATTTGAGAGAATCATATGGAATAAGGGAATTACACAGCTCTGTGGTAGGTCATAAATTGTCCTGTTATTGTTTGTTTCAGTTATAACTCAAACTGTACCTACAAGGGTTCTAAAAAATGTTAATTTCTTCTCCTAGAATTCCTTGATTTTCCAAAACAATAACATCTCGATGTGAGTTGTTATTTAAAACAGGAGCTCTATCTGTTGTTACACCTTACAGTGACTGAAAATGCTGTTCATCTTTAAACCAGTCTACCAAGACTAATAGTGCAGAAACGTGGTTTGTCTCCTAATCAAGAACTTTAAATAGCCTCCTACTGCTTATATCATCAAATCCAAATTATTCTGCCAGGTGTTTTGGCACGCTCCTCTTGTTTTATATTAGTTCCTTCTTTGTCTCACAAATTGCCCTTTTTCATCAGGCTGATTTATCATATCCACCTTAGGCCATGTTTGAATGCATACATGTCTTTGTTCACCCTGTTCTCTCTTCCTATCTCTTTCAAGTTTCTGATTTCTATAAGCAAAAAAGTAGTTACCTGCTTTATGGTAGTGAGATGTATTAGTAAGTTCATATGGCCCTATGCAAATCTAAGTTCTCTTATTATTTTCATAATTACAGAGTTTTAATTGTTATGATTTGAGCATATTTATTGGGTGAAGGTAAGCAAGCAACTGCCTGGAAAGAAATTAGCCATTTCCTATGTTCTGCATTATAAACCTCAATTTATTTGATGGTCAATATCATGAATCAGTAGGGGTTTATATCTAACCTAAACGAGAGAAGAGAAATGGTTTACTTGGCTTCTGATTAGATTAACCAGAAATGATAAAATATCTGATAAGGAACTCCTTTTTACCTAGAAAATTAAACAAAAGTATAACTAAGAAGAAACTTCCAAATTTCTGTAATAAGAGAGTGTTCTAGGGTCAATGGTTCTCAGTGTTATGGTCCCTGGAACAACAGAATCAGTATCACGTGGGAATTGCAATTTCCCAGGCTATCTTCCCCACCTATTGAATCAGAAACTCCAGAGGTTTAATACTCTGTTTTAACAAGTCCTGTAGGGCTTGTTTGAGAACCTCAAGTCCATGGTGTGCAATACTGAGCTGAATACTGGAATCATCTGCTGAGTTTTAAAGAAATACTGTTGCTCAAGCTCCACCACAAATCAATTAAATAATGTCCTGGAGTAGGGCCTGGATGATTCTCATTAGTAGCCAAGGCTGAGAACCACTCTTCTAGGTTCTTCAAATTTTTGTATGAAATGAAATTATTACCCATTAAATTGTCATAGCTCCAGAACAATGCCAGGGCATGTGTATGTGTGTGTTTGAAGGAAGGGTAAGGAGACAATATGAAGCTGAGCATTTTTGATGAGTCCAAGTGAGAATATGAGGGGCCTTTAATGTTTCTATGTGCTGACTGAAATTTGACTCATCAGATTTATTTATTTTTATTTATTTGACAGAGAGAGAGACACAGCAGGGGTTGCTGCAGAGGGAGAGGGAGAAGCAGGCTCCCCATTGAGTAGGTAGCATGACTCGGGGTGAGATCCCAGGACCCCAGGGTCACAACCTGAGCTGAAGGCAGATGCCTCACC